ACCCGAACCACGGAATATAAAGTGCATTATCATCGGACATGTGCAATAAGTGTGCTTTTGCTCAGCATCGAACCGCTAAAATTATCCACATTAGGCGGCAACGAGAGAAAGAGAGCGATGCCAATGAATGAGCGAGAGAAAAAAGTACGCAGCAAGTCGAAAAAATAATCGTCTGCATCTCAACTTCTTTCTTTCAAATCCATTTTTTGCTAACGCTATCTCACTCATGCCATTGTCGATCCGGTTCGGAGTGAGCGAGCGCACAGTCTGCGTCGCTTGCTGGCCATGCGACTTTGCGTGAATTTGTGCTTATTGTTACAATCTCTCTCCAGTGTCTGCATTTGAAGCATTTGCATGCGATTTGCAAGTGATTTAAAAACGTACTTTTCCCGTTGTTTTCGATCTTGAACCGCATTAATTTTGTTTTGATATTAACAAACTGTTGTGTGTATTATGCGAGCACTGTACGCCGCCACTTTTTGTTCACGCCATATAAATACAAAACAATTAAAGGCCGTGTGTGTCTGTTTGATTCTCGATCCGTTTCGAATTGAAGCGAGGAAAAAACAACATAAACAGATACTTTAAATTGTACGAGACGAAAGAAAAACAAACGTAAAAGTGCTTTTTCTGTGGTTAATTTGAATTTTTCGGCCAGTTGATGCCGAACTTGAATGGAATTTTTTTGTTTGCTTGCATTTTTGGTGCGTCAACTTCATTATTTCACGGGCGGCATGCATGAACAGTCTTTCATTTTGATTTCGATCAAACGTTAAATTGTTAGCATTCAAATTCATTAAATGGTGTTTATGCTTCAACTGAAGCGGTGTTTTGAACTCTTTCCCTGGAATCGCGATCACATTTTATGCACTCGTTTTTATCAATCAATCTTGTTTTTCCGCATGCTCTGACACATTTCGTCGCTGGATTCTTTTTTGTTTGGTGCAATAAAATTAATTTCTTCAAATTCCAAGAGATCGAACAAGCTACGCTTGTCTTATTACTTCACATTGAATGGCGATCATTTTCGACGAGGATCGAATGGTGAAACTGTTTATTGGCGATAAAAACATATAAAATCCACTTCAATGGATACGTTACAGTTTACAATTGCCTTTGAAATGAAATAAAGGCGGTTAAGTATATCGATTCATTTTGATTGCGGACTCTCTTTCGCGCATTCGATGATCTAGACGCGTTCGGCAACAAATTAACGGCATGCAAATATCACATATTTTATGCTTTGATTCGTGTTGAAGGATGGCGGCTCGTATCGCCCGATTGAATGGCATAATCTGAACTTTGTTGCGCGGAACAAATCCCCCGCGAAATGGCTTTTATCGAAACGGACCGAAACAACGGCAACAACAACGAGCAAAGAAAAATGGTGTTCTGTTTCTATGTTTTCATTTTGCCTATTTTGTCTCTTGTTCGCTCTCTCTCCGTCGATCTGCCTCACTCTCCCGGCAGAAATTTTTTTTCATAGCAACCGAATGGCATTGCATCAGGCAGAGCCAATGACAATATCAGAGCAAATAACAAGCGTTAACATAATCAAGAGCATGGAAAACATTCGATCGCTCCATAGCTCTAAAGCTCTAACGGTGCGCTAATAAATTAAGTGGTTGAAAAAAAATACGGCCGAATTCCATTTGTAACACGAAAACAAACTCGGTTACAATTTCAAAACAGTATTTGCTCTCGAAAATAATCTCTTCGTGTCGATTCGAAAAAAGGATACACACAGAGAGGAGAGAGAAAAAAGAACGACAAAAAAACTGTTCGATGTGTGTGTGTGTGTGTGTGTGAATTAGAAATATACGTGGACCTATCTTTTTTTTTTGTTTCCCACTAAATTCCGGTTTGACTCATTTCGATACACTCAATTTGGTTGCGTTGTATGTTTGCACTGAAATGGAGCGCAGAACAAACAAACCATTTTCAATATGTATGTTGTATGACACAATGCAAACATTGGAATTAGAAATAGAAGTGAGCGAGAGCGAGAGACGAAGATGACAGATTTTTTTTTCTTTTACCTCGGGTACCTGAAGTGAGTGTGCGTTTGCTATCGCTCAACAACGACACTTTACACAGCATTACATCATGTTGAATTGATTTCGACCACGTTTAGGTCACATTTTGTGTGTTGTGACTGCAGTCAAATGAACGAGATCATGACTGTGCAAATGTTGTGCGGATTTGTAGTTCTTTTTTTTTTGTCTTAGTCATTCGTTCGTTCGTTCAGTTTTCTTCCGACATGTTGCAATCGACGTTCTGTCTAAGTGCGTCAATATTCTTAGGCTGCAGAAGAAAAAAAACGCAGAAATTCGCTGGATATCGTGTGTGTGCTCGGCTTATGCAATTGATAAGTGTGATTTTTCGCCGAATGAATTGCCGCACGGCCATATTAACACATAGAGACACACACAGAGAGTGTGTGTGTGTATAGAATATGTGAATAGAGTCCAAGTGCAAAATTGTCGATGGAAAGAATCAAAAAGGAATGTTTAGAGAAGAAGGAAGGGAAAAAAAAACTATCAGCATAGTCAACAGCGGGCATAACGTATGCAATGGTCTCTCGCGCGTCCGACAATGAAGGTGTGGTGTGAAACGCTTAAACTATCCCGGCTCTCAACTCAATATACAAAATTTTTCTCTGTTTTCACAATCCAATGTGATATTTTTCGTTCGAAATCTCAGCCGCTTGATGCTTTTTTTCGTATTTATTGAGTTTTATTTTTTTTTGCTGCCATCGCCGTTGCCGTTGTCGTCGTCATCGTCGTCGTCGTCGTCGTCGTAGTTACAATGCTGTTTTCCGTGTGGCTCTTTTCTAAGAATTTCTTTTTACGGTATTTTTTGTTTTTTGTTTGAGGATTTATTTGTTGCCGTGTTATACTACGTACATACCTACACAATGCACATAAAGGCGATAGCGATATGCGGATGGACACAACACACACATACGCCAAAAAAAACAATGTAACAAACCAGATACGAATTATATGTATTTCTCTATTCGACTCTTTAGTTTTCTTTCCAATTCCAATCTATCTCGCTCATTCATCCGTCTTCGTGTGTGTGTGTGTGTGTGTGTGTGTGTGTGTGTGTGATTGAATTTTTTTTTGCTCTTTGTCGTTTTGAACAATGAAATTCGATACTGTGAAAAGAAAATATGGTTTCGAAATCCAATTGAGAATTAATGCATATACAGAAAATTAATTCTTTAGCTGTCACATTCGCCGACAGGTTTTATCGTGAGTGTGCTTTTCTTTTCCGTCACATTCGTTCCGAAAATGAATGTTATGAAAGAGCATTTTGTGTGTGTTTAATGCGACAAACTTGAGAGCACTGCGCCCGTTCGCATGTATGTATGTGTCTGTGTGTGATATGTCGACACAAATTTTTCATTTCTATGCCCCGAAATGGTGATCAACATTCTTAGATAAGGTTAAAATTATTGTTTTTCAATGGCTTTATTTTTCATCTATAAAATAGGCTCTTAAATCGCTTCGCATTTTTTGCTATTGAAAGATAGTAATGCCGATTCAAACGCATTGTTATGCTTCGAATTCGAAAACATGTACCGAAATCAAAAGATGTCTATTTTGGGATGAAACGACCGAGAAGAAAGAAGACTTGCACGATTGGCGACGAACCCTACATTTTACGGTCACAATGAAAGTGATATGATTATTCAGAGCCATTGTGGCCGATGTGAAACAGAAATAGGAAACTAGCATTGTCATGGGATTTTAATAGGAAATGCACTGATTTTGATGAAAACCATTAAGAAAGGCACTCTTTGAATGGGGCTTTTTACACAATGAACACAAAGTGAGTCGAATGAAAAATGTCATTTTTTCGAAAATTGACACTTTTCAATTAGATACCGAACCCATGATATGGCCTTTTTGTTGATTTCATTGCCTCATTTATTTCTCCATTTGGTGTTTATCGCATTAATTTTTTCTGCTTTCAAATCTTCTGAACCTCATTTTTCGATTGGATGATAAAATTTGATTTTCTTTTTTTACATCCATTTTTTTCCCTTCATTTGCTTTGCTTCATTATTTTTTTGCTTAAATTTTTATTTGATTTTCTTCTTCTTTGCTATTTTACACTTTTCCTTTATTTTCATTCATTTCGAAACATTTTTGACTTCATTTCGGTCACTATAATTCTGTTTTCGTCTTTTTGTTTCACCAACACGAGCACGCAAGTGCAAATACACGAGCACTAATTCGATTTGCGAGCGTGGGATAAAACGGTCAGGTTTCTATACACATGTCACATTTGTCACCATAAATTGCAATTGGTCTTTTGATCCTAACGCAGATATGAATACAAAATTTGGTGTGGTGATTGACATTTCGAGCTTCTTCAACCTGCTGAACCAATGTACCACCAAACAAAGATTGGCTCAATGGCCAATAAATACTTGTTAAAAGATCGCTGAACTCTCGTTTCCAATCGGAATAAGCACGAAAATCATCGATGCTCCGAAAATGCGAAATCATCGGTACTTCAAAAAAGCGGATCATTTAATGTGACACATACACCAAAACAGACTGATCAGCTCTAATTAACAAATCTGGCATCTATTTTGGTCGTGATTAAAAATTCATAATTACATTTTCAAATAATAATTTAAAATTAAAACACGTTTCATTATATGGCAAAAACGATGTCATTATAATTTACGAAACGACTTCCAGTTTTTTTTGTTGAATCGATAAATAAAAACACTATTAGGTTGAATTTTGATCTGATATTATGCGATCGCATCGCGCCGACATTATGGAAATGAAAATATGAGAAGCCGACGGTTGACAAAAAAGCCATGTCATTCATCGTCATGATTGATTCGTCGATGGCGTTTAATGAAATATTTGGTTTGCATCGATGGACTAATTGGCAATTACGAGCACAATATTTAATGGACAAAACAGAAATAAATAGCGAGACCTGAAAAATCTATTATTCAACTCAATACTAACCGTATTACGAAATGTCATTCAATGAAAAATAAAATCCAATATAAAATCCATGAGTTTTTCTTTTCTCAAATAAAGTTTTAACACTGAACTATAAAAAAAAAACCACAATTAATGTTCGTATCGAAGGTAATAATTTTTTTTCGCTTCTTTTTCTTTTAAGTACTCATAAATAAATCAATTGGCGACACAAAAATCTCGTCGAAAACTTTTGTGAGAGAGCACTTTTTCTTTTGCACAAAATAACCAGTTGCAAACTTGCGACAATTTCTGAAGCACAATGGCCGTTTCACTGAAAATTACACAAACACGTGTAGAAGAGGAAAAACACAAAACTATTTTCAAGTGTTTTTCGTTCGCCTGCTCTTTCAATTGATATGGAATTTGTTGCGGTCGTCGTTTAATCACTTTGCGAAAAATCAATTAATTGCCAACTGAATTCGATTGTCACACGCATAAATATAAAATTCTTGGCTGCTCAAATTTACGACGCCAATTACAGCAATCCGAAAGAAGAATCAATGACAACGACTTGAATATGTTGCAAGAGAGAAGATTGGTCCTATGCCATTCACTATCAATAATTTCATAGCTGGATCATCACATCACGTCGCATGTTCGATGTAATTAATAGAAAAATGCTCCTTCTCTGCGTCTCTCCCTCTCTCTCTCTCTGTGTGTGTATTGCGTTTATCCGCACAATTTTCTCGGTGCACTGAATTTATTTTATATTCTTCGACTGGATTCTGATTTATCATTTACAGATGTCGATTGCACAAAACGAAAATGAGCACACTCACACACGAAAACACACACTGATTGTTTGGTGAAGTACGCAGCAAGAAAAAAACCGCGAAATGTCCTTTCAACTTGTGATAAACACACTGCAACTTGCACATACACCCGTACACACAACCGATCGATACGGCGGCGGCGGTGGTAAAAAATGGATTATTTATTTTTATTTCAATTGAAAACCATAAATTTTGTGTGCAATTGTCGTTTATTTTGTTATTCCTTCCTTTTACATTGGATTTCAGTCCGTGTCTGTTTCAGTCTCCGTGTGTTTTCTCCGTTTGGATCGATGTGATCTGTGTTTTTTTCTGCTTCATATATATTTCTCTCCTTGTTGTAAATAATAAAAACGTAGCAAAAACTATAAATGACAATAATTTTTTTTTCGTCTTCTTTTCACTTATTCTTTGTGTATTTTTCCTTGTAAGCCACACTGGACTGTGTTTTTTTTGCACAGAAAACAGTTCAATCAAGAACAAATTTCACAATATTTGCAGGCACAACAAATAAAGCCTGTACACATTTCTTTGGTTACGTTGAGAATTGAAAATTGTTTCTGTTTTTTGCCTTGTGGTGTGTGTGGACAAAAAAAAATGTTTATCGACACAAACGCACAACGCACTGTGTTCTCAACTAACTAACGATCAACTTGAAACTGACAAAAGCACTGTCGCTAGATCGATGGCTGAGGCTCGCTCGCGGTGCTTGCATCGAATCCAAATTGCACGTACAAGAAGAATTTCTTCGGTGTCGATGGATGATGATGGTGAGAAAAAGAGCGAACAACACAAAGCACAGACGAAAGATATCGAGATGTAAATAAAACCCGTGTGTGTATACATTGAAAAACATTCCAGTGCTGCTAGTGTTGGTGTGTGCGCGTTCTCGCATATAGGTGTATGTGTATTTTTCGATTGTACACAGTGTTGGTGTAATGCACTGTGCGCTCTCGCGCCTTCGAACCAAACATGTGAAACAATCAAATGTGAAGAGAGAGAAGGAATAACAACAGAGGAAAAAAAAGCACCGAGCAAGATTTGATCGGTGGCTGGAGTAGAGAATGAGTCAGTGTGTGAGTTGGCTGTTGACGGCGATTCCGTATCATATTGCCAATGTATTGGTGGAATTTCTAGTTTTTTTTTTGTTCATTCCATTCTTTCTCTCATTCTCGTTTTTTGCTACAATTCCTTTTAAAGAAACCATGATCGAATCAATGTATAGTTGCGTTGCCACACAGACACACAACATTGCTTCTAAAACACCGAATCAAATGGGAAGAAAGAGTAATAAACACATGCGACGATGCTGATAAAAAAAAGACACTCACACACACACACCATCGTCACAACGTAGCCAAAGAAGAAAAATTCCCGGCCGAATGGTGTGGAACAGAGAAGGAGCGCATACTCATTCAATGGTGATGATGATGATGATGAAAATGCTAAGAAAGCCATTTGAATTTGTGTACCTGTGTTGCTGTTGTGTCGTTCGATATGTATATTTGGGAATGAACACAAAAAATCGTTCTTGTTGCTGTTGTTGTTGGTTTTTTTCTGTTGTTGTCGTGTCTTTTATAAAAATTCGACTACGAGTTTAAGAGTTGGACGATTTTTTTTTTCTTTCGTTAAGCCAGAAAAATGATCTAAAACGCACACACAAGCAAGTGCAACACGAATGTTAAGACCAAAGAAAAAGACGAAAACCACATGCAGCCAGCCGCGCACAGTGTACTCGTAAAAGATTGTTGTTTGTATTGTTATCGAAGGAATTTTTCGGTTCAGTTCTGTGCCTGAGCACACACACACACACAGAGAGAGAGAGAGAGCCGCAACAAAATCGTCAATGGTTTTAGATCGATGAATATATTTCGCAAATTATGTTCGTTAGTCTGTTTGGTCTGAAAGTGGCTTGCTGTGCGCGAAGAGATGTATGTGCAAACGTATGATCCCTCTCTCTGTGTCTCTCTGTATGTGCGAGTGAGAGATTGAACGCGCGCGCGCTTGGTCACAATCGTACAGGCATATTTGTAGTTTTAGTTGGTTCAACGAGAGCACTAAAACAACATCAAACCCAAAACGATGATGATATAAAAGATGATGATCGAAACAAATGTACCAGACGCGATGATGAAAAGGGACGAATGCGCGCAACAGAATCACCGAAAAAAAAAACACACAACAACAACAACAAATCCAACACGCATCTCTTGGGTACGAAGAATGCTGTTTTTGCCGCTGCTTTTGCTGCTCATTGGCTTGTTGTTGTCGTTGTAGTGTCGTCGTCATCGTCTCTCTTACAGCACAGCCCCAACCAATGTAACTTTTTAACATAATTTTATAATGAATTTAAATTGCCTATTTAAAAAGCGAACAAAAAGAAACTCTCTAAGCATCTCATCGCAGCTATGCAGTGCATAGCGTAGAGAAAATGTGCGTAGTTCGACTTCGATCTGTTTTCGTTGCTGCCTGGTTTCGGATTCGTTCGTACGTTCATTCTTTCATTTCCTTTGCTGCCCTGTGCTCTGCTCTCTATCTCGGTTGTATGTTTTTCTCAATGCCATCGCAGCGCGCGATCCAAATATGTATAAAATGGCACTCGACTTCTTGCTCACAAACGCTGTCGTACACATTGTTTGGCATATTGAAAATTATGCGAGAACGCAAACGAAACTGCGAAGAGACACATTCGCAAAAGGAAAACAAAAAGTCCAGTGTGTGTTCGCGCGCGCACCGTTGTATGCATTGTGAGCGCGAGCGCATCGAAACAGAGACAGAGACTGCGCGCGACCCGTGTCTCTTCTCGTCGCAAACGAATTACATTTTAATATGTCCAACAAATTTGACAAATAATGTGCATTTTACTTCGGCGAAAGTATTTTCGCATTCAAAGCCCTTTTTTTCCTCTCTCTCTCCCAACTTCTTACATCCACATCGAAGACATTCGACTGCAAAACGAAATAACACAAATCAATCGTCGATGACCCCCCGAAACAGTAAATGACGATGATTTGAATGATTGTAGCATTAAATGTTTTGGCATTGTGGATTCTGGAATATCGGGACTCATTTTCGCTGGTATTTTTTGTGTGTTATTTTTCTTAGCTTCGTTTTTTACGTTTGCAATTAGGAAATTTTTCTTTCCAATTGTATTGTCAACATAGTTTGCATTTCATTACAAGTATAGTCTATTTTCAATGGAATCCATTTAGAAGCATCCTTTTGGAAGAGACGATATTCCTTGGAAAGAGACAATCAATTGACTAAAGCACCAAATCTCTCTCCGGTCGTCTTAATTACTGCTTAAACCAAACCAAATTAAATGCAATGCAATTGAAATGAGATGGTCGATTTCCTTCAAAACTCCACTAATTCGTGAATGAATCGAACAATTATGAGAGCAAAAAATGCGTAGCATAAAGGTAAAACGACAGAAAAGAAGAAGACTACGATGAAGACGGAAAAAAATTGTGTGTTTCGCATGTGAGAAGCATCCTAGCCGACAACGAAAATGTATTTTTGTTTTGGCCGTGACTTGCCATCCAAAATATATGTTATTCGAATTCTATAATAATATACGGCATAAAATATGAATGTATATACGGTGCATAAGTGTTTTTTTCCTCTCTCATTCGTACCAAGTGTATATCGTAACGGCAATGCATGTTCATGTTCAAACACACACGATACGAAAAGTAAAGTGATGGAAGAAGAAGAACGAAGCAGCAGCAGCAGCAACAATGCTACAGCCGTAGCGCAGCGAAAATACAGAGAGAAAAACAACGAGCAGAGAGTAAAAAAAACAGGTAGAACATATAATAAATACATGCAAGCCACAGGCTAAAAGTGTACAGGTACACATGCATTTGCTATACACTGTGTCTGCCCTGTTGTCGTTCAACAAATATATCGCGTTCTCTTTCTGCCTGTCGCGTACCATTGCCACCACTACCACACCGATCGGTGCTGAGTGTGTGTATGTACGCTGCGCAAGTTAAATTCATACCTGTGTATTGAGCTCCCAATTAAAATAGTGTTTATCGTATTCCTTCCTTTCACACTGCTCTACGATTCCACACCGGTTTCCTTTTGGCTGCTGATTCATGTGTGTATTGGAATTGTTGTGTTATTGCACACTGGTTGCCGTGATACCATTCGTGTCGCATACACTCTTCCAACTCTTCAGTTTCCATCGTTTCAATCGAATAAGAAATATAACGTTTCGCATTTTGTTTTTCACTTCTCTTTACCGTCTACACAATTCGCAGCTCTGGCGAGCTCTGTTGTTTGAACGTCTGTTCTGTTCCATTTGAACAATGCTTTGAACGTTTTTTTCCCTTTTTTTGTGCGCTGTACGCACTCTTTTTGTTTACATAATTACCCAGTGTATACTTACTTTTATTTGAAGAATTTATTGTTGTCGTCTCAATGGATGAACTCTTTTTTGTCCCGAGATGCGGAACAATAGCCAAGGAATTTCCATACATCTGTACACACACACACATTGTGTGTGCCCTTGTTGTGCTAACACACGATTTTCACTTTCGACACAACTCAATCAAACGTTGGCGCTCCAATTTCACCGTAGACCAACAACAAAACCAAATCCATTTTAGGCATTCCTTACCATATCAAGAGCCATTCTTACTAAAAACCCATTCTTACCTCTGTCCATTATGAACATTCAAAACTCTTACCTCCAAAACCATCGCTGCTTTTCTCCGATTGATTCCCATTTTTTTGTTTCGTTTTTACGCATTTTGATGTCGTTATTTCGTTAATTTTATTCCCACCTTGACCAAAATCGACGCATCCAAGCGACAGTACCCCGTGGATTCAATCGCTTCACGGAAGGGTTCAAAGATTTACCGAAATAAAATGCAAAATGAATAAACATTAAATAACGCCAACGAATCAAACAAATAGTCAGTTTAACTTTGTTTTTTTTTAATTCATTTTATTTTCAAATTCAATGGTTTTTTTTTCTTTTCTTAAAGATTTGGACAACGATAAAACGATATTATAGGTGATAGTTTCTTTGATTACATGGTAAATGCATTTCAATGAGGACGATTATATACTAATATGTAAAGAAAAAGAAAGAGTCAAATGAAAATGAGACGAGACATAGCGTGTGTATGCTCAACATGTGTCGCATTTGTTTCCCTTTTCATTCAGATTTTTTTTCTCTTCTTCTTCTTCTTATTCTTTATTTGCTTAATATAAGAAAGAGTATTTAACAACCAAAAAAAAAACAATCTCCAATCCAAATGTTATGGAAAATATTGAAATAGAAATGGTCATGCATTCGGGGATGTATGAAAAAAGAGCTCGCATTCGACCGGAAGAATTATTAGTTTTTCTTTATAAAATATGAGAAAAAAAAACAACGAATCGATTTTCCATTCGTATTGATTTTTTGTCATTCGTCCCAAATGTCCTTTCCAACATGATTTTCTAATTTTTATGTACAAACATTTACAAAGGGGAGGCAAAATTCAAAAATTTTCTTTTCATATTCCACGAAAAAGGAACAAACAAACACACACACACTTATAGTGTCTTACAGGTGTATTTACTTAATGGAACGTAGTGCTTTCTCGATGTTTCGGTAAATTCGTGGTGGAATTACGTCTTGTAGTGTTCGATTGTAGTTTGGATGTGTGGAAAGTTGCTTGAACAATGCTTTCGCATTGTTTCTCGTATCTAAGCTGCCTTCCATAAGGAAATTTGCACCGGCCAAAATTAGTCGATCGCGATATTCACGGTTCATTGCATAAATTTTCTCACATCCCAATCGGCTGACCATTCGACTGCATAGATTTGCTGTAACTGTTCGTACAATGGCATTTTGATGGGTGGCACCACGCGTTAAAATCGTTTGAATCGCTTTTGTTGGTGGCAAATTATCGCACATTGCCGCCAACGCACGGAGTGCATCGGCTCGGAGGAATTTATTCGTATCGGCTGTTCGATTGAATAATTGTGTAACTAAATCTTCGCATTCAGTTTCCAGTGTTTTGGAGTGGGTTTGGAAAAATTCGGCCGAAGCTTGGCATGCAGAACGTGAAACTTGAGATCGAAGATTTTTCACTTGCTTGGATATGGCTACACAGTAAGCGTGTATATGTGATTCAACTGTGTCCGGATGATGTCTTATTAACCGAACGAAATTCTGTATTCCGTGCATTGTTGTCTCCCAATTTGGGCTATCCAATTGATTCAAACAACTATTCGATGCTTCGCGTGGTTTGTCGAATTTTCGCAAATTACTTGGGAACAATGCGTGGAAGGTCTTTGAATTTGGTGCCATCGATGCACTCGACGGATAGGCTTTGACTGGTGTGACTTTATTGCGGCGCGAAATGATCGCTGGACGCAATTTTGGAATGGGCTTATTGATGATTTTCTGTTCACCAATCGGAACGGTAATGGTTTTTGCCGTGTTTTCACGCATCGCCTGATAGTCAGAACTCTCTTCGGTGCTGGTCAAACTGATGGAATCGCTTTCGGATCTCGGTTCGTTGTCATCAAGAGAGCTGGGCTTTTGCACCGAAATATAAGGAGCGTCCAGGAGTTGTTCGGGCTGTGAATCAATTCGAATTTCTGCCGTTTTTTCAGCACTATCGATGGTATCATGGCCACTATCAATCGTTATCACTGGAGCAACATCATGTGATTCATCTGCGATTAGCTTTTCGTTATTCTCGTTTTGAATGTGTTCGAGCGAAGTGTCGATGGCTTCACTTTCAACCTCAAGATTTTCAGTGGTTGACTTTGGAGTGGCAACAGCTGATATTGGAGTTGCAATAGTGGACTTGGGAGTTGCTGCCGTCGATTTTGGACTAATAATTTCTTCTATCGATGATTGACCAATGGAATAGGCACTTTTCGTTCGATTTCCCGACGCCAAATCACTTGTCTCATCTTGAATGCTCCTCGTAGTCGCGGTTGATGCATGCGATAATGGTCGTTGTCCTTCACTAACTATAATCGACACGTCTTCGCCATCGCTGTCCACTTGATTTTCCCTTCCGTTTTGATCAATTCCACCAGGCTTACGCGGGGTTATCGCATTCATAATTCCACCATTTTCAAGGGCAATCAGTTCAGATTGTTGAGCATTTTTCCGATTTAATTCTTCGGTTGTTAGCCGACGCTCCTCGTGACTGGGCGACTTTAATTGACTGGCATATCTGAAACGGAAACAAAACATGGAATGAAAAATACCGGCGACAATTTCATTGAAGAGAAAGAAACAACAACATTTCTATTGACATTTGAAGTTATAATTCATTCAAAATAAAAATTCAAATGAGAAACGTCTCGAATTCCCACGAATCAAATGGAAAGGCGACACTAAAGCCATTTTCTCGGAATTGCCGAGTGAACTTGAACATAGTTTTGCATGCATCGAGATTGTGTACGTGGTATTCATTACCAAGTCTGTGTAGGGAGAATTTCACCACCAATCCCTCTTCGTAGCTGATGATTAACGGTAAATATTTACGAGCCGCTTGACCTTCATAAATATTTTGGTGTTTTTATTTATCAAGACTGAAAATCGTTTCGTATATGGACATTTTATTTGTACTAATTGAGCACGCAAAACGCAACGTGCCATCATAGCAAGCAGCCTGTGTTGGATTCCGTTGATGGAATCATTCATATAAATAACCAATTACGCTGTTTATTTCAGGGGAAATAACAACGATTTTCAGTGAAATTCGACGTCATTGCTTATTATTTTCACGTTCATAGTAAATGTAATTGCTTTACTTTGACTCAGAACTGCTGAGCTGGGCATATTTCTTTTCCCATTTTTCTTCTACATCTATTTGTCATTCGACAGAATTTTAATTAGAAAGAAATCGATTGACCACTGGTTGGCTGCAAGACTAATGGCGACTGTGAATAATTTGTTTTGTCGCTATCTAATTTAATGGATACTTTGTGTATAAATGACCGAAGCGAAATGACATGCAATCGATTCCGTTGAAAATTGTGTTGCAAATTCAAGCTAGAATTCAAGTCACCCGCTTTCTCTTTGCGTTTTGTCACATTGATTCGATAGCTGGTTGGTTGAGGTTTGAATATTTCATTGATTGATGTACATGGACACGTAGTAAGGCGATTGCAACATGTAAATGTTAAGGTTTAATTTTTCATATAGATTCGAATTAATTTGCTGCTTTTACTTTATTACTTGACCGATATGAAATGTTGTGTCCGTAGTATTGACGTTTGGTTTTCGTGTAATGTGTCATTCGGGGCTGTTGGCGTGAAATATGAATTCGGATTAATTATTCGATAAAAATCTACAGCACATAAATCGCGCCCGATGTCACAGCGCACATTCGAATCGATGTTTTTTCATCGATAACATTCACCCTCCATACTTATTTCGACGCTTTAATCGATGTCGCTTAACATCTCTCACCCCCGCTAAGTGCAACACATTCAACTCTATCGAAATCGTCTAATGTTTTTTTCTTTCAATATTTTATCGGGTATGCACTACACACACCTTTTTTACCCCAACACGGCAGAAAAAGCAATCTCTTGCTTTCGACAACAGCGCAGAAAAAAGCGAAGAGTTGCTTTTGCAATTACAAGTCAATTTGTTTTCTGATGGGTAACAATTGCAACGAATATTGAATTTAATGCATGATAAAACACGCACTTGTCATGCACTCCAACATAAAAAAGCCGGCAAATATTAGCGTAAATCTTCCTTTTTGTTTGTCTCCATACTACAAAACCAATTTCACATTTCAATGATATTTGAATATGATTTCAATGTATACAGGACAACAAACGGCGTGCTTACTAACTTGAAATCGGTTTTTTGACGACGTCTATGCCGGAGCGTATGTAATTGAGTTTAAGCATGCAAATGCATTCATATGACTATATTTTGTGTTTGATTTGGCCATAAATTGAACGCTCTATCGCTGGCTTTCTTTCGAAACTCCATGAAGGGAATTGCATGCGATCAATGAACGTCGCATTGGCCATTCGGTTCTTTTGTCCACTGCTTTTTTGTTGGTTTATGACTGATTTCAATATTTCAATCGATCGCTTGCGATTACTTGAGGGCAACGCACTCAAGCTTTTCTCAGACAAAGATCCTTCAACTTTGTCATGAATCATTTCACGGGACACATCAACAATTCGAGAAAAGTAGTAGCAAACTTCTGGAAATTCACTGGGAAAATACTTGTCGTTAAGTGGGCTACTTTCTAAATAATCACCCTCTAGCACTTTCAGTTGACAGTGTCAATTTGGCACCAAGTAAATAATATTTAGCTATAATTATGGGAGGAAATTTGTTGGAAAATCACATACTTTGTTGGATAAACGGTAATTGGTATGATTGGTGTGCGATTGAGCAGAAAACTATTGGCTCCGTATTTGTCGTCCGCTATGCAGGACACCGTATTTAGGTCATTTGGTTCGTCATTCGGTTCGATTTTTCGATGCAAACACATGCAGTAGTGTCGAAAGAAATCCGGATATTTATGCAGGAATTTCATATGGAATTTTGTACGATTGTGCAGGTCACTTTTCACTGACGTCGCTGATAGTATATCATCACGTATTTTTATATATGCTACTCGATTACCACTAGTTATTTGCTCAATTTTTATACGATCATCGAATTGTTCAGTTCTTAAATCACCATTTCGTTGCAGATTTCCACTCAAATAATGACTGTCATTCACAGTCGCCGAGTTTGTTCTGCTTCCACTACACATGTTTGATTGTAACAAACTCAACATTTTAAGCGGCCTTTGATAGAATCAATTTTTTTAAGCTAATTTGAACAGCTTTTCACTCAAATGTCGATCATTTTTCAGTTTTTCGTTCAAGAATGAATCTTTTTCATATTAGAATCATCAACTTTTCTTCTAGAGTCGCATTTTTTTTCAGTCAAAATCAACTTTTCCACTCACAAATCATCTGTTTGCTTGAATTGTTGCTTTTTTTTATTCAAAAAAGAATTTCAATTTCAACTCGAAATCAAACTTTTCTCGAATAGTCTTCAACTTTTCCTTTCTTCAAAAAAAAAAAACTTTCTCACATGTTCACAAACAATTTGTGCCAGTTCCACGTCTACCAAGCACAAAGGCAATAATTGAACTCGTTTGAGCTTTAAATTCGAAATGTAGCACGAAATGTACAGTTCAATCACAGAAAATGGTTCTTTATCGTTTCAGATCAAGCACTTTTCTTTCACGAAATTCCAAATGCATGCGTTTATTTTCTGTTATAAATTCATAAAGCTCCCTCTCTCGCTATATATATTTCTCAATGGCCTCTTCAAGTTTCAAGTGAGAGGTATGCAGTGTTTTTGGAGGAAAAAAAATTGTGCTTTGGCATGGCCTGTTTATCGACTGAACTAAAAAACTGTACTGGTCACCACTTTTATAATAATGCCACTATGGCGATACACATTCTCGCCGCGACATGCTCATGATTGTATTGATGTGGTGGGTTTATGGTTGTGGTGTGTGTTCTCATTTGCGTTTCATTTTTTATTCAGGCTACGAAAGTACGAGCACGGCATTTACAGCTACGTGTTTCCGTTACTATTTCACATTGCGGCCATGTGTACCAATGTGAATGTATAAGTGTAAGAAATGGAAACTAGCCTCTCTCCTTGTGAGTTGGTTGTTATTGTTGTTGTCGTGATTTCCTTACGCTTTGTCATTCTTCCAGGTAATTGTAAGCTTTTTACATGCTTCAAATGAACTAACTTCTTCGCTTACAAATCGACTTATTCCAGGGGTGTATTCAATGGATATTATTTACATGGCAATCACAACAATAAATCACTAAGTGCAATTAAAATCGTTCTTTCTACGCATGTTTATGAATCAAAAGAGCAAGCGTAACACAAACACAGCGGAAGAATCATTAATTTATGATTATCATAAAAAAAATATCGACGTTTCATCATGATTTCAAGTGCAATAACACTAAAACATGGCAAAATCAATTTTTCGTTTCGAGGAAAATTCGTACTACACTGCTTTTTTATAAATGGCGAAAAAAATAAGGAGACAAGAAAAGGATCCACCGAACAATGTAGACTGTATATTGTACACAACGCGATTGTTAATGACTTTCTAATTCAAGCAATTGCGTTGATTTTCCATATCACTCGCGCCGAATTTTGTTTATTTCACCGTGATAACGCGTTGGCTATGGTGATGAAAGTCGTACGCTTCGTATAATAATAGGCTTCAAAGCATGAACACAGCACAATTTGCTTCGGAATAAAGAATTTTATTGGAATTTCATTACAGCGAAAAAGGTTCCGTTGAACCATTTCTCGGTATATGATTGTGTGCGGCACGGTGTGTTGAATAATCAATCATTTTATTGAAATCGTCGTTGTACATGGTGTACATGGAAGGTGTGCAAGTGTTTACACAAGTGTTGCTACTTTACTTCAAGCAAATGGAGTTTTGATTGTTTTGTTTTGTTGTCGCGGCACCGTCGTTGTTCACGTTGTTGCTTGAAAGCGAAACGCAATCGAAATTATTCGAAGGAATTAAGAGGGAAAGCACAGCAATGGCGCTACGAAAGTTGCTCAGCTGGGCCACCACCACCTAGTCAATTGAGCCTAATTGGCAAAAGAGGTGAAATGATTTGATTTGATTTGATGTTTTTTTTCAGCTGTTAATGAACAAAGCCACTTGATTTCAATGTCATAAACTTGAGCCGCATTTTTATGTGTTATTATCAGTTTTTTTTCGGTCAAAATATTCAACCGAAATACTGAAACTCATCATACGGAACCGATATAATATATATTTCGTCATATTTTTTTTTCGTGGAATCCCCAATGGCAACTGTTTTTATTCGATTGCATTGTGGGGTTCCGTCCTCATGTCGCTCACCGTACAACAGCCGAAAATGAACAAAAAAAGAATAAAATTAACCTCCATGCGATGAAAATGAGCGAAAAATAAAAGAAAGAACATGCGACTCATTTTGATTTATATCCAATGATAAGGTGATTTTATGTCGTACCGACATCAAATTTATTACGATTTGAATAAATAATATGATTGAGATTTTAGTTGATGGCAGTGGCCATCGTGACCACTTGAGTATTTCATCGCACAGAACCTCTGATCGATATGGATTATTTGACGTTTTTTTTCGCCTCAGTTTTCTCTTTGCCGATTGTTATTCGTATACGTAGGTATGAACATAAACAAACACATTTCAATATCATGCATGAGTATTTTTTTTATAGGCACTCGTCCAGTATGGCGTCCCAAACTTCCAATCCATTTTAATTGGCGTCATTTCCATTGCCACATTTCTTCTGTAATTCACATTCATTGTTTATGTTTAATATTGCAAAGCGAGAGAGAGAGAGGGGTTATTCATTAAAAGTTTTGTTCCGTCCCTTGATTTGAATATTAGGTCGATCGATTTGGTTTTTTATGTGTGTGTGAAACAGAAACCTACTTTTTCGCCAAATCAACTGCTGTTCATTTGAATAAAAGAACGTTTTCGTTTCGATACGAAAGGAACGAATGTCTGTCTGGTCAATCTTAATCTAGGATCTTGTTTGAACTGAGACCAAAAAACGAGGTCAACTCACCGAATGTCGTGCAGTGTTTTCAACGGTTCATTCGATTCACTCGACGACTCGTCCAAATACTTGTCCACATTCACGAAACGCTTCGGTAACGGCGGCTGTGCATATTCATCAGGATGCGTTGAAGGTCTTGATTCATCATTAGCACTTTGACCGGTCAAAGCGCCTGTAACATGAAATCGCGTGGAAATTATGGTAATTTATCAAGTTGAAAAGAGTGAAAAAATGAAGAAAATTAGAGAAAAAAATACAAGAAAATGATATGTGAACGGCTGAAGTTGTTACAAATTCAAGGAATATTCCATATAATCTGCATTCCAATCGTTCTTGAAAGTTACGCTTACCATGAGAATAATTATAATAATCAGATCGAACTGGAATACTAGTGGTTGTGGTAAATTTTCTCGGCAACGATCCATTTTGTCTCATTGCAAAGCTACTGTTGTTTGGATAGACTGGATAACGGTTGGCATTCCCGTGAAAATAATTTGATTCGTTTTTATTCCGTGCTTCTATATTTGATTCCATCGATGGAAACCTATGGAATTGAAAAAACAAACAATTCGTATCTATAATTGACCTAAATTGTCAAAAATATCGATGTCATACGCACAATACAACCGGGATACAAAAAATGACAAGTGATAAAGATCAAATACATTTCAAACAGGACATTTAATAACTTAATTGACTTGTTCACCTTGAAGCAACCGGTAGCTTGGACAATTTGCTACCTTCATTATGGCCGGGTTTGTATGGCCCACTTTTAGTATCAGCTCTATGGGTGAGATCGGGAAATGATTGTGATTGGATGTTCAACTTTTGAAGACCTGGAATCGACAGAGAAATGTTAAAGATAAAATACGATATATTTCGACACAGCTGAGCGTTGATCAATTCTTTCGAGAACTCAATGTGATAAATACATTCAAAAACTCTAGAAAAAACCATAAATCTACTGCATTATTAGGGTAAGGCGAAGAGTAACTTACTGCTGCCAGGATAACGAACTTGACTGGTTGGTATCTGTGCTGCCATAACAAAATGCGTATTTCTGTCATCTCGCTGAAATAGAGACCAATTTTAAAGTGGATATGCAAGAAAAATTCAGTTTCAATAAAATAATAGATGTTAAAATAGAAATGTTTTTTTTCGCTTCTTTTCACTTGTTCTTTACTTTATTTGTAATTTTTTTCATTTTTTTCTTAAATTTCTTCATAATTTCATTTTTCGCATTTGTTACGATCTTCAATAAAAACGCCATCACTTCATCCGCCTCAATTACCGAAACTGAACGTTCTAAACAACACGCAATGTGATCGTTAACTCAAAGCTTGACCGTTGACCGCGGCTCCATCGAAAGTTTTGAATAGCCGCAAGAGTGAAGCTTTCGCGTTATTTTTGGTGTTCGCTTTCCAATCTAGGCTATACTCTATACTTGTTATCCAGTATTCTCGCGTTGGTATGTTTGACCGTGCATACCATTAGCATGAACGATGAATAAAAACGGATAGCCGAGTCGATTAGTTTATTATTCTCTTGTCAACGATAGAAAATCGATGAACCGCTTAGAAATTCCATTTGTAATGTGCGGCGGTCAATAGAAAATGGTGATAGATGAAATGGTTTCAAAAAGGGTTTTCAACACAAATTACTATTACTTTTCGTTGATATTTTTTCGGTTTAGCCCGAGGGAATGGTAATGATATTCTATGTAACTGATGGAATTTGATGAAAGGTTTTTTTTCTGGAATTTATGAACAGAGACAACGTTCGTTCGATCTGATTTGGAAATCGAAGTTTGGTCATGCATATATAACATATTTTTTATTAATCAATATTCCATAGAGGAAATTTATTCAATAGGACCCATAAAAACGCACCGTGTATTTCTTAATGGTAACAGGAGCATAGCCAACAATTCTGCATAAAAACATTTTCACTGGTCACAATTACTTTTCTTTGAAAATGCCACTCAAAAAGCACATCTGATTGAAAAGCAATCACATTTCCAACTGTATAACTGTTCTTCAAACAACACCAAAATGTGTTGCACACATTTTATGCAAATTAAAAATCACGAATTAATACGATTTCACCGAAAATCACAATCTCTTCCTTTTTCCCATTTGTTTGATTCGGTTTCACATTGTTTGGATTGAGGTGAATAGACTTAGGAGCGCGCGAACGCGGCACGAATTCAAAAATTCATGTGAACATCGATGGAGTGCCAGCAAACGACTGACGTTTCCATGTGAGTTTTTCGAAAAACGAAAGCCCATTTTACTTGGTTGTTTTCATCTTCTCTGTTTTTGTTGTAGTTGTAAGCAATTTTCCAGCACGATTCAATGTTCCATCCATTATATACGTGTATACGTAACGTCTGTATGCCAGTCATTCCCTTTGGCACATAATACGTTCACACTCTATCAATTTAAATTAAATAGTATATGCATGAGGTAAAATGGTGCTTTCGCCTGCGTAATTTATATGCAGTTTTGCCAGTGTATTTGTTATTAGACTGGCAGTAAGTTAATTTTTGACTCGTCGCTTCTCTCGCTCACTCTCAACTCGATCGCTTCTCTCGCTCAACTTGGCGAGGAGTGTGTGTATAATTTTCCTGTCGGTTTTATGGGGCATTTTCACCATCAGCCTAATTGCAGTTCGTCGAAGTGTATGCAGGTGAACCAAAAACTCTAGTTATTCCGTTGAATTAATGCCGTCTGTTCGTGTCGGGGAAAATTGCAAAATCGATACAAATGAACCGGGTTTCACGTGGAAATTCCTTGCAATGACTGAAATCACCGAAATTATTCAAATTTTTGTCATTCCTTTTTATTTGATGCTGACATTTTCTTTCGGAGGAAAAACTAATGCTCCGTGCTCAGTCAAATTGCATCGCGTGTGCATGGGGCGTGTCAATCAATCAATCACATTCAATTTGGCGCGACAAACACGCAATCTGACCCATTCAAGAACTAAACAATCCATTGCACATATTTCATTAGCTTTTTACACTATTTCTAGTCTGGCTTTTTTTGCTGCTGCTGCTGTTATTATTGACGATTGAAAATTACTTCTATTTAAGAATACATAATGCGGTGTTATTTTTATTATTCTTATTTTTAATACTGCGGACCAATTTCACTAATTATTTTCGTCTCAAAAAGTGTATCAGCTTGCTTCATCGCGTAATTAATAGGTTTTATCATCTCGTGAATATGAAACTTGAGGTCATCAAACCCCAAAAATGTACTAATGAAAGTATAGTTCAATCGTATATGTGTTCATTATTCATAACTTACCGGCGTCATTTTTTGATATGGATATCCATTGTCGATCTCTGAGCTCGAACCCAAATTGTAAGAGCTCAAATCTCTCATCGATCTTCGAACATGATCAATGCTTCTGGAATGAAAACAGCACAGTCAAAAAATTTAATTGAGAAATGAGTGAAATTTAGAAAAGAAACAAACTAAGTGAAAATTATTAACATCGAAAATCATACATCTTCTACTAAAAGACAAAAGACCTTCACTCTCCAACATAACACATATTCAAGTGCATTTGAAACTACACAAACGAAAACCGAATCAAGCATACATCGAATCGATTCGCGTTCATAAATCCATTTGATATATGCACACGCAACCCCATTCAAGGGCACTTTAAAAACTGTATCAAATGGTTATTCAAAGTAAATAAACGCAACGAACATTTAAAGAAACGATTTATGGATTTCATATTCTATCAGCGCCATTTTGATTGTAGAGAGCATGTGCTGAACGTAGTCATACACTTCATGGTTGATGAATAATTAAAGCCGTAAACACAACATTTGATAGCTTGAAAATTACAAAAAAAACTTGGGATACGTTTAAAATGCAACAAAATTTCCCACTTGAAGCAGCTATAGAATCGTCAAAAAAACCATACCAAGACCTTTTTATTTGTAGATTAATAGTAAAGTCACTTTACTCAAGTGTCTTTAAATAAAATGTGATGAAAGCGATTCAGAATGAACAAATGCGATGGGTTTTTGAAAATGACAATGACTTCATTTTGGATATTTGTCATTTTAGGGAGCAAACATTGTGCGTATGTGTGTAAACACAGTTTGCGTAGATTTAAATACACACATGAAGTGTTAGAGAAATAAACACCGGATTTTAAGCTTCTCTTTAAACACATTTATTGGCTTGGCAGCTGTGTTTATATTTTCGAAGCAGGAAAAGATTTGCAATTCTAGGTTCCGTAAGAGAGCTGTAAATAAAAGTGTTCTTATGCCAATTGAGGAAGCTATTTTAAAATCAATTGTATGCCTAGTTGAAATGCTTCAGAAGAGTGAATATTTGTGATGAATATATTTATTTCGGTGGTATAATCAAATTATGACCATGTTTTCAAAGCATTCAAATATCCAAAATATTCGGCAAACATGTTTGTTCCAAAGAAATTTTAACCACCAAATATTTTTCTGGAGTATCCCAAAACTAATATTAGATAGTTTGGTCACAAAAATATTTACACAGCTGATTTATTGCAAACGGTCCATGTGACGACCACCTTATGGATCATTGATCCGTTGCCAGTAGTTTTTCGCTTTGAATAGTTGTTTTATTCTCATTTTGGCACCAGTTCAATCAGAGAACAGTTGAAGCGTTAAATAAGAGAATTGTTTTGTGAAAGTAATTGAATAATCGTTATCCTTGGAATCATCTTATCGTTGATATATCCAGCCCAATCACGAACACAGAGTGTGTGCTTCACGGTGGTTGATCCCATTTGTGGAAGTAATTGAACTAAATACGGCAACCTGTGCCATTTGCCAACAAGCTCAACAAAATGATGCCACTTTGCAATGCGATAAAAATAGCAAACCAATCGACACTCGACAATGTATGTCCAACATCAGCACCAACAACACGCATTGAGAGAATGAAGGAAATGATTTTGACAAAAAATCAACTTTTAATTCAAATTTCCTATAAAGTGTGTCAATATATTACACAACATAGGTGTGAGCGTAAATAAATGTTGAAACTAGAAGAATCTTCGTTTTCCACTTGAATCAATTAATTTCGGCGCTAATATTTTCAGCATTAGCGAATAGAACAAGTAACTAGCGACAGCACCGGCTATACTGAAATTGAGCATTACATGAATTTACGTCTTAATGGTAATATTTCAAGATCCTTTTTTTGATTTAGCTGGTAATACCTTTGAGAAAATGAATTCTTTTGCTATTGGTTATATCTCAAACACATTCAATAATAAATGCATTTATCCGAAAATTATTCAAATTTGGAATATTCGAAATAGAAACTTAAATGATTTTCTTTTTGTAATTTGAATGTTTGGTTCGAAAGTTGACTGCATTGGATTCCTTATTCGTTTACATTTTTGGTCAGGAATTAAAGCTAAACGGGGAGAACGTACATTTTTCAGTTTATCAAAATCTAGTTGAAAAACAACGTTCGTATGAACGAATCTCCAATTATTAGCATTACGAATCTTGCTGAAGTGTATGGGGTGAATGTAGTTGCATGCCGCATGTCGAAAAGAATGTAATAAATAATTAAAGTCCAAAAAGCCACAGCACGTGGAAAATGTACTGCTATCGTACTCGGTTTGAAAGTGGCTTTGGTCGATGATGTATCGTGTCATTCATGTTAAACGGTTATTAATATTGAATACCGCGTTCGCTGTATCGTTCTATTCTTTGTTGTTGTTGTTGTTGTTGTTGTTGTTGTTGTTGATGTTTGGGCAATGTAAAAGCTTTGCCACTTGAACTAGAAATTTAGTATGTATATGTGGCTTTGCTTTGATTGGTTAATTTAGTAGACAAAGCACATGGGTTTTTGTTGCATGAATCCGTTTCCATTGGACTCCATTAAGTTGAGCAAAAACTGAAGTTTAAAAATATAATTGAAGGGACTTTGACAAAAAGAAATCCGCACAAGAGCTCGCAATGAATTGAAAATGTTTTTTTGGAATGATTGTTGCTTCTCTCTTACGTGGGTCATACACAATATCAACCAGTTTATATGTTGAATTTTATTCGTTTTTAATTTGATTGCTGTCTTCATAAATTCGAGCAGCGAATATTTTTGCTTTGTAACCTTTTTGGGCTTTGTGTGTGTGTGTGTGTGTGTATGGCTGAATGCAAAAAAGACGTACCGAATTTCAATTGGGTGTCTATGTTATTAAATCATAAAACGGATTGAAGAAACGGAATATTATGCCAAGGCTATTGAAATACCTATTTGAATCGCTGGACGAATAATTGTACGCCATTTGTGTTGGATCAAAGCGCTTCTTCGATGAAACTGGCGAAACTGAGCCAATACCTGCGAACAAAATTAAGTCGATATGTTATTTTTTTGGCCGAAAACAGAATAGAATTTTGTGTTGTTAAGTTTTCTACTCACCAGCTGTTATCCAATCGATATCGGCTCCAAAATAATAGCTGGATATAACTTGTGGCGGGGTTGGTATTCGCAGTGCATAATGAACCGATCCTTCGGGCGTTACCGATGGTAGCTGTTTCCTTGATAGACGCGCCTTGATGGCGGCTATCAAACGATGCGCTTCCTTTTCATGACGAAGCGTTTCGGTGACCTCTTCGAGCACCGTTTTTGGTGTACTGATTTGACCGAGCACAGCCAAAACATCGAGAGCCGCTTGCCGTACACGTTTCTTTTGATCGTTTGCCGCCTCCGCCGACTTTTTCACACACGTCGGTATGTCGAAATATGTGCTGGGGAACGTCATCAGTGCGTAGAGCACCATTTGTAACGCATTTTCACGGAACTGAAACATATAATTAATAAAATATTAAACGTTTGTCGAGTAAAAGTGATGAAAATAAACTGAAAGGTGGTAGAATTTCACAAGGTTCGTTGACCATAGCTTGTTTACTGAGCAAATAGATGGTGTTTTTGTTACGGTTTCTATTTGCTTAGCTTCGAAAGGGTTTTTTTCTGTAGAAAAGTATGACTAATTTGGTTATGACAGAATGAGGAATTTTTGGAAGAAGAAGCCTTCGATAAACGAAGTTTTGACAGAATCTTCAGTATCATTGCGACAACTTTGATTTCATTCATTTGAATGTGAAGACATCAGAAAAATACGGGGAAAACAGTCATAAAACTACGCTCATCAAAAAATGATGATAATTATTTTTAGAAAGTTTTTATCTCTCTAAAAAGAGAAACGTTCTAATGAAAATATGCTTTGAATAAGAGTCTCTATCATCAAATAACCTCAAACGTACAAGAAAAATACATTGAATTTCTCTCAGAAAAATCGATTGTATCGACAGAACGCTTTCTCACACCGAAGCTTTAACCATCCATTGAAAACAAACAAACTAAAAATAATGAAATGGAAGAAAATACTAGAAAAAGAACAAGTGAAGAAAATTACAGAACATGAACAAAACAAAACTCATCATTTAAAAAACAAAGTCAATCAATTTGACTCACTCTTGAGCTGTGGGCCTTCAAAAAATCGTCCGATATGAGTTTGATAACGACAGCTGTCGGTGGTAATCGTTGCATCAATGCTTTTGCCACCCGATTACAGCCAGGCCCACCTTGCCGACACAATCCCACGATGATTTGTGTGGCTCGATCCTCCAGATTGTCCAATGGTAGCCTTGAAATCAAGTTAACAAGTATTCGACGCTTATCTTCGAGCACATCTGGATGTTTTTCCGATGACAATAGTGTACGAAGCAATGACTCCAAATGTGGTTGCACCATTGACAAATTGTCCGTCGACTTGAGCATTTCCTCAATCGCGCACATTGCATTCGATCGCAGCCGCCAATCCTATAAGAAATTCATACAAATCAAACAATCATTCAATTGTACCGGTACCACTGTCGAGGTGGGAAAATGATTGGTTCTCAAAATAAATTATTTACTTTGCCGACAAGCATTTTTATGCGCGTCATAGAAAACGGGCATTTATCACGCAGTCAAACACAAAATGGAAACGGTTTGAATTGTTGGTTTTTTTTTTAATGAGCAAATAAGTTCAATTGAAATCGGCTTGAAGACATGCAACACTATTCGTATCGCCATAAAAAGCCTTTTTATGTCGTCATTTATTTGCCGAGAGAGAGAGAGAGAGCCGATTTGACACGGCAACAAGGATTAAGTACTTTTGAACATTTTCAAATGGAAAGCAATTTCAATTCACATTTCTCAAGAGACTTCAGTTCCTTTTTCGTAAAATTTTCTCCTCTGCTTCGTTTCAAAAGAATTTTTTTCTTCCAGGAAAAGAAAAATCATTTTCCGGAATGAATTGCGAGAATTGTCATGAAAACTGAATGCAATTTTCAATTGAAACGAAGAAAATTATTTTCCACATTTTACTGCAATCGAGACATGAATGAATGGCGGTTTTGCATTTTTTAATTTCGAAATTATTCAACATAATGTATTTTTATAATAATAACGCTCAACTTCTATCAACGGTGGATATTTTCACAACAGGATGGAAAACCACAAAACGTCAACATAACAGAAGCTGTACACACGTTTTAATAATGAATTTAATGGTTGATAAACGATATCGTCAGCGTCAATTTGAATATAAATTTGGCGGCGCGAATGAAGAGTGGAAAAAAAATCTACGGTCGGAAATTCTTACGTAAATGCTAAAGCTATTTTATTATTCTTGTGTTTATATCTCATTCTCACACACACACAGCGCAAGTGGACTTATCGTAGTTATTTTAAACGTTTATCCGTCATTAGGACTTGCGGTGTTGTGTAGTGTTTGTTTCGATTTGAGGTGCCATGCAGTAGTCACATTTAATGGAAAAATTGCCATGTAATAATAAGTATTATGAGAAGCAGCATAATAAATGAGCGCATAGATAATCAAAATTAGGATATAGTGTTTCGATGTTGATGCCGTGAAAAACAATGCTGGTTGGTTGGTTGGCTGGCTGGTGCTTTTTTCTTTTTTTCAATTACTAAAATCGTATGCAAGGATAATAAACAAAGGAATAAAATGAAGAAAAACCCGTTTGTATATCTTCAAGGCGTTTAGCAACAAGATAAGCACCAACTGCTGTGTGTGTGTCATAATTGGAAGGAATATTTACAAGCTGCCAATTCTTAAATATGCCAATTTTCATGTGCCATTTTTTTTTCTTTTTTCACCTTTTATCACATTTTCTCTCTCTTTATTTGCAATTTCAATAAGAAAATTTGTAGGGAACATTTATTAGTTTTTGTGTCAGAGAAATGCAATTCGAACATTTCTCATTCGTATTTGTTTTTTTTACACGTCATTCAAAAGACGTTTTCCCTCTATTTCAACCACGACAATTATTTTTAATATAAATGACGTGAAAATACATGTAGTCCAGCATTTTCAGATTCGTAATTAGGTGTAATTACGTTATATGCGAGCGAAAAAAGCATAGAATTCAAATGAAACGAGCGCAAAAGATTTTTCTACTTTATACATCGAGTGAGCGCAACAAACGGTTTCGTTTGAAGAAAAAAAAACGGGAACGAAATCAACGCATATATGAACATTAACATCGTTCATAAAGAATGGTGTGTATTAAAAATGGAATTGGGTCACAAATGGAGCAAATGTAAAATCAACGCTTGGAATTTTTCACGTCTAAAGAGAATGAAGTGGAAAGGATTTAATGGTCAAACACATACATATATACTCATGGCATTTTAAAACCGCATCTCGAGCGCACTTTCTGTTGCACGCAACAGAAAAAAGAAATGTGGACCAGCTGACCAGTTTTACTTTCGATTTTTTTCTTCCATAATATCCCATGATTGGTTGTAGCGATAGCGTTTCCAACCAAGCCGATTTAAGTAGTTTTTATTGAGACATTATATAAATGCAGCACCCTCACAAATCATAAGCACCCACTGATATGTGTTACAAGATAGCATGCCACAATGGGGCAATGTTGTACATTTTTTTATGTACCTCGCCGAAAATGTGCGGTGAAGCGATTCATAGTGGTGGATTTGTGTTTTCGCCGCATGCTCGTTTAGCATTTTTTTTCCGTTCGGTTGCTCATTCAACGTTTGTTTTGTTTGTTCTTAATTACTCGAAGAGAATTTTTGAATTACGGTCAATGGATGTACCGGTCGCAAAACCCACCCGTTGTTTGAATCATATTTATTTGAAAGTTCGGCCAGAATGAAAAAAAGAAAAAAAACAGAGAAAGTCTAGGCAAAAAAGAGAGAGAGAGAGAGAAAGAATGAAAAAAAAATGTCGGTGACCCAGATTTCCTGTATATTTATTCGGCCAATCAATACAACCATCAGGGTGATAAGTTTTGAATTCGACTGAACGCGCGCCGCACACAAACATACACACATTCCGTGAATGACGATCATAAATATAGCCCGACCGTAATCTAGATTAAAACTGCGCCTACTGAGTGTAAATGAAAACCGAAAAGCTCGCCCGGTCAATTGGACCAAATGAACGAAATTAAAATTCCTGCGACTCATTGTGGTCAACGTGATTGCGATAGAAGAAAAAAAAATTGTTGCAAAACTGCGTAAAACTTCGATTGACAAGTGACGGAAGTAGGCCGTCAACTGATTTTTGGCTTCGGCTTTGTTTGAAATGTAACAGATACACGCATATTAACCCCGGCGTCGGGGCTCAGTGGCGACAATGAGTGTTCCAAACTCGGACATACATTGAATTTGCGCATTTTTACCGCTTTTCGATTATTCTTTTTGTTTTGGCTCGCATGTTTATGGAAATGATTTTGTTGCCCCCAAAAAAAATCGGTAGCCGCCTCAACACATTGGCGGTGTGGTGCGCAAGCAAAGTGAAAAGAGTGTGTATTTGAAAAATGGCATACATGTAATTTTAATAAAAATGATTTCCGCTTTCGAACCCCGTTGAGTATCAATAAAGAACCGCTTTCACCCAATTACAATGCGCTGCTGCTTCTGTTGCTGGAGCGGGACTAGGTCAAGTCAAGTGCTCAAAATATTCTTTAATAGAATAAATAAATGAACACTCTTTCCGGCTTTCTTGATTTCATTCATTTGAATATGAAGACGTCAAAAGAATACGGGGGAATAAACAGTCATAAAACTACGCTCATCGTTTCATCAAAAATTCCGGTTCAGTTGTAGAAAACGTATTGATTTATTGATTGATACCAATGGTGGAATGCAAACTGCGATAAATGAATATTAAATAACTTGACATATGAGAGTGATGTTTGGTGAAATGGAATCAAAATGTTTAAGCGATTGGATGAACTATGCCGTAAAAAGTCAAAATTCACAGTGATTTTCGACAGTTACATGCATGGAACGCATTTTATGAAACCCATAACATGGCCAATATGTCGCACTTATACCACTTGTGACACGTAATAATTTCCGAGCATTTTCTCAACGTCGTGAAATACAAAAGCAAAACGCAAACACGTGAAATACAGAGAAGAAAAAAAATGCGGGCGATTGTTCGAAAGAAAAAAAACCCAGTGGTGATTCGTGATTTGCTTGCATTTGAATTGTGGATTCCACCCTCGAATCGGTCTTCGTTTTCTCTCTTCTTTTTTTCTTTGTGTCAAGTCGTTGGTTGTCAAGTCGTCGCATTTAAACACTCAATTCACACAACTCCGTTTGCTGTTTTTTCTCTTTTTTTTCGGCACCATTTACGCAAGACAATTTTTTAACGTAGAAGAATTGTTCGGAGTGGCATTGTTTGAGGTTTTTTTAGAATGATATCGCGTGTGTCATTACTCATTAGATTTTGTATGTTCGCTGCACACGGACCCATGCCGCCTTCGCCTGCGCCGCCATTCAAACGCGCGTTTTTTTCTTTTCGTTCCCATTTCTTCTGAGCACCACCAACGTATGAAACAAACGAAGTGTTATTTAGATTTTCAGATAAAACTATAAATTTATTCGGGTCGTTTTCGTGAACACTAGAAAAAGAGAAGAAGACGAAAAAAATTGCGCCGCGTTCACTTAATCCGCGTAGAATGTGGTTTTGTGTCGTTGAAAAAAAAAAACAAATTTATCGAATTTCTTTTGTAAGATTGGCGAGTCAGTGACAAAGTTGTTAAAAGTATCACATACTCTACATATTATGACTTACCCCACTTTTAAGATTTCGTAGACAAAGCTCATCGACCAGTCCAAGGTTTAGCCAAGACTTGATCTCTTGCGAATGTTTGCGTGTCATTTCGGGCGATGAAATTTCTTCAACGATAATATCATTTGATTTGGTGGCCTCCGGCGGTTTTTCAACGATCGATATGATTTTGTCAGTTTCATTCGAGGTATTTTGATCATTTACTTCCATTGGTTTAATGTCCACCATTGAATTGTGTCGGGATCGTGTTGGTGATACACTTGGACTGCGTTGTTCTAAATTATGTAACACTTCGATACTTTTGTGCGCTCCTTTTGGCGAAACAATTGTCTCATCGGCTGAACTGTACGATGGTCGTCGATTTCGTTTCACTGGCGATGCCGATTTATGGCGTTGCTTATTCGATTCAGCATCTGATGTTGGCGGTGATGATGCAGTTATCACAATACTTGCCGTTTGTGGACGTTTCACTGTCAATAAATTGTTATTCACTTCGTGATCCCTGCTCATTATCATCGTTTCGTTCAAATTGTTTTGACTATGATTCAAACTGAGTTGATGTTCGACAATTTTTTGAATTGCTTTTTGTGCATCGTCATTATCACTTTGTAAAACGCTATCACTATCCGGTGTACGTAGTTTCACTTCTTCACCGCCAAATGTCACACGTTTGAGTGGATTTCGAGCCGAATCGAGCACCTCAATCACCGTTGTACCATTCGATTCATCCATTTCGCTATCGGTCATAATTCGGACAACACCATTCTGTGCACCGTACACCGACGATAAATCATCTTCACTCATTTCGCCGGCAACCTCATTTTCGCTGCTATTACTATTGCTCGCCTCCATGATTCGCATTGTAACAGCCGTATTTTCGATTTTGATTTCCGTTTCCATAATGATTTTTTCATTTTCCGGCTGTTTGGCTATCACATTGATCGTCGTTTGGACACAACTTTTTTCCGCTGGATTTCCGGTGCAGCTATTAAATGGCTTCGTCGTCAAACTGCTATTGTTATTATTGTTCTCTTCATCAGCAGATGTTTCGTCCGCTTTATCGCGCCAACACAGTTCGGTTCGTTTGACTTTGCAGTTGGAAGAGTCGGTGGATGTAGGAACTGGATTCCATACTCGGCTCGTTTCACCCGATGTTTGCGGCAAATACAGATCCATCGATGGATCTTGTGTGTTTGGAGTGGATGGCAGACCATATACATTGCACAACAGCTCAAAATCTCGATACGCCCCATGAGCAATGTGCTCAGAAAACTCACGAACGCCAATCATCTCCCGGATTCGCAGTAGCACTTTCAAAGCCACCTCTTGATACGTAACTTGAACCATTTTATTCGTAAGTGCATGAATGACCGTTCGAACGATATGATTCTGTTTCGATGTTCCAAGTGATGTATATACAAATGAGGGCATCGATAACATAACACCAATACAAACACGACCATCAAATTGCTGAAAATATGTCGTTTGTTCCATGCCCAAGCTGATTATCTCCAACATAATTGTTTCGGGCATTGCCGTTTCCGTCATATACACTTTGAGCGCGTCAAGCGCTCCCTTTCGTATGGCTGGCGCTGAATGGCCCAAATTCTCGACCAACGGGCAAATTAACGGTTGAAAATATTGATCAGCACGATCTGACATCAAAATTAATACATCAATCAATACTCGTAATGCATGCTGTCGCACTTGCCATTCAGGGTCTCGCAATCGTTCAGCAAATTCATCGAATATTTGGCTCACATTTAAATTGTCCGGCAAACGCTTCGTACGAATTATCGTTTCCCATAATGGAGTCAACTGCACCATTGTTAAACTACGTTGTTGCTTTTCATCATTGTTGGGCATTGAATTGCGACGCGCACTACGGAACGGTGAATTATTGTGACTCGGTGTTCGAATTGCATTCGATAAATGCGAATAACCATCTACGGTTGGTGCTTCCGCTTCATTTTGCTCTTTTCGCGAAAATACTCGACGTAAAAACATTTTATTTATTTCGAATTCAAAAATAATCACTACCGATTCGATTGGGAAAAATATTTGTTAAACACACTGAATGAAACGCAATAACTAAACACATCGTGTTTTATAAAGCGATTGAATAGAAGGCATTTTCAGAAAGGACACCGATTCGATTGCTTTAAGCTCAAAAACTGATTCAAAGTGCTGGAATACCGTCGGTTTTATTGGCATTTTCGTTCAACATGTAGCCTACGTCACATACACGTTGCCACTGGGACCATTGCCACACATGCGTAAACAGATCCGCATTTGATTTCCATTTCCAATTGTTTACCGCTTGCCACGGTGTCCTCAATGGACAACAATCCATGCTGCAAAACAAATTACAATAAACACGGCATGGATTTCAGTATATGTGGAGAGTCTCAAGCATTGACTCGCGTTTTCCACGCTAAATGCAAACAAATCTTCCACAGCGCGACGAATGGGCACTTTTGAGTAGTCGAGAATGGATTGATTTTATGAACGGAGCAACGGAGTTCAATCGCCTGCTTGAGTAAATGGTGACAGCAATTTTTGGGAAATTTTTTAAGCAAATACTATGGAAATTTACGTTTTATGGGCCGAATACGCATTTCTTAGGTAATTTTTTTCATTTGTAGTGTTTTTTCGTTTTTCCATCATAATTTTTATATATTTGCTTTCGCGCAACTTATTTGCTTGCGATTTTTTTTATCATTTTCTCTATATAAAATATTTTTTTTAAAATTCAGCTTAGACCGAGAGATTTTCTTGAAAATTAATCGATTTTTTTATTTAAACTAATCCGTGATTTATTTGTGAAAAACAAATATAAATATGTTTGTCTTCGTTTTGTGATTGTAAGTTTGTTTCACGTAAAACTCATATAATTGACGCATGTATTGATTTCACAACCATGCTACCACCATATGATTTCGGTATTTATACGATAAATCTATACATTTTATGGAGTAAACAACTGTAATTATGAGTACGGAATGAAAATGAAACAAATTGGAGAAATGACAAATACCTAGTCATAATTGCGGCAACGTTCCGAATTTGATCAATGGATTTTACAAATTGAAACTTATCAAAAAAAATAGCCAACAAAATCGGTAATGAAAATGATGAATTGGTTGTTATTTTATTGCTCTTTGCCTCATTAAATATGATAACTATAAATGGACTTGTTAATCGTTGTTCACATGAAAAAAAAGCCGCACAAACAATTAATTGTCATCCACAAATGCGTTCTCACCTCCATTTACGCCCTTTCACAGAAATTAATCTTCTTACCTGAGCTGAATTTCAGTTCAGAGAATAAACTTTATATGATCCATTTGGAAATTGATGAATAATTGATTCATAAAGCAATTAAGTAAAGTTCATTTTGAGTTGGAAACTTTTCCTTAGCTTATATGTTGATGTTTTCATTTACATTTACAAATTTCAAACCGCAATTCAAATGCCAGCCAAAACCTTTCATTTGCTGTGATCGCAACTACGGAGTTATTGGACGTTGTAGTGTTTTGTAACACACAAAAGAAAATGGTGTGGATTTGGCGCCACCCAGCGGATACTATGACAACTATGTCTGTCAATGACTTGGTACAGTCAAAATCAGTGCAATGTAATATTGACACGGCTTACTAAAGAAATTGTTTATGTTGTTTTTTTTTTTTACTAGAATCTAACAAAATCGAATTAAATTCTGTGTCCAATCACAAGTTTTCCTCACACAATGAACGACGATCACGATGCACGCACAATACATTGCGGTAATTTATATGCCGACAAAATCACCGAAGAATTACTTTATGAACTGTTTGTACAGGTTTGTGTGTTTCGCAATTTTATAAAACGTAGAAGACGTGTTTTTTTTGACAGAATTCACGAAAAAATGTGTCTTTGTTTTTTTTTAAAGTCAAATTTAATAATTAAATTCCTTCTGCAAATTTTCAGGCCGGTCCACTGGAGCGCGTGGCAATACCGAAAGACAACGGCAAAAATCGGCAGTATGCTTTCGTCACCTATAAACATGTATGCTCCGTGCCATACGCAATGTCCATATTCGCGGGAACAAAACTGTTTAACCGAGAGCTACGACTGAACAATCGCTGTTTGAACCGAAACAATAACAATGAAACCAATCAAACACGTGGTCAAAATGCACACGTACCGCCGCCAGTATTGCCAAATATTCCACCAACCCATCAATTTCAAATGCAAAATCCATTCGGAAACAATGCGTTACGTAGTGGTGGCGGCGATAATAATCAGCATCGTGGTTCAATGAATCAAAACAACAAAATGATGCCTTCTGCACCGATCCAACAGTTGCAATTCCCACCGAATTCACAGCTTGATTTTGCGATGCTTTTGGCACAAAGTGCACAGATGTTGTCGTATGCAAATGGTCTTGGAGCAAATAACGGTGGTGGTGATGGTGGTAATGACAACAATGGTTCACAGAAACGTCAATCGAAAATGACGCATCGTCAGGAACATCGTTCACACAATCAAAATAGCAACTATTCGCGCGATAGAGATCGACGAAAAAATCACAGTCGGTCAAAAAGCCCGAATCCAACTGATTGGATTCGGAATCAAGGGAGAGAAGATAGTAGGTCTAATCGACATGGACGTGACCGTGATCGCGACCGTGACAGAGGCCGAAACCAAAGAAATGATAACAGCCGACGCAGAAACGATAGGCGATAAACGGAATGCGGGAGATTTGGCGAATGAGATTTTATATTTCTATAGTTGCTTGACAGAGCTTGATATGTTGTATTCGATTCATCCATTACCTTACACCATATTAATAATGAATGCATTCAAAGTTATGATTGATGCAATAAAACTTGTAAATCAAATACCGATAAAAAAAAATTTCATTAAGAAGTAAAAATTAAATAAAACGAGAATTTGTCTCATTGATTGCCGAAAATTGTGTACAATATTTTTGTTTTCATGCTTTTTTCTCACCTTTTTTGAACTTCATCAACTCTTTCAATGGAGAAGAGACAAATCGATTTGATTGACATCTTGTTTCAAAGCTACAATTTGAGTTTGGATAGAAAAATATACCATTTTCTTCATTGAATTCCAACGATGTACAAACTTCTACCGTGAAAGATGTCAAAGTAGCGTTATGTTTTGTTTGGATGGTGAATTGATGAAATTCGGATGAAATGTTCAATATTCGTGTTTAGATGACGTCAGTTCTCGATCGATGTGTAAAACTGTTTGCTTCTGTTGCTGTTGTTGTTGTCGTTGGAAATAAATCATGTTGTTATTGGTTTCTATTCCAAAAGTCACAATATGAGATTGGTGACAGACCTTTTTTTTCTATCAAATGGAATTGAATTCATCAATGATTCATAATCATTCAGATGGAAATGAAATGCGTCAGCCGTGTGAAATTGTTTAGGAAAACTTTGTATTTATTGCAACTATGTCTACGTACAAAAAGGCATTCAAAATTCAATTGTCCTAAAAAACGTGTTGATTTTTTGTAGCCGAATCGTTTTAAAAGAAGGAAATAAAGATCGGTTGGAATGCTTTTGATCGACACTTGCGATTTCGATATAGTATAAAATTTATTAATTTCTTTTTGATTAGAACTGAATATTCCAATATTCTCTTTCTTTCTCTCTCTCTCTGTGTCTCTCTTCATAAATTTACTTGAATCGCGCGGTACAAATGTGGAAAACAAAAGGAATGGAAAAAAAGAAATAATCAAATTAAAAAAGAAAATGAAGAAAGAGAATTTGATAAACAATTTGTGTTTTGTGTTAAAATGAGGATTGATTAATAACTACAAAAATAATAATAACATCCAGTGTGCTCGTTTTAAATCCTTAAATTTGCTTAAACATTAAATTAATTCATTCATCTTGCAATTGATTGCTCTCTGGAATCGTATCATAATGTTTACTTCTCGAACCCCACATTTCAGTTAAATTGTTGTAATAATATTGATTTAATTTTCATTCTTAAGATTTCGACGTTGAAGTGCAATAGCCAGATCTTGTTTCATGGCAGCCTGTGCTTTCTGATCGGACAACGATTGAATGCTACGCAAACCGTTTACAATGTCTTTTGTTTTGCTGAAGTAGATTTCGTTAAGCGTATTTCGAATTTTATTCTCCATATCCTCGACCATTCGACCGATATTGGCAATGTGTGGCGATTGTTCGTTGACATTGGCGTCTTGTTCCACCTGCGGAAATTGTTGGTGTGCGCAAAGAAAGACACAAGAAGAAATTAACACAAATCATTCAAAGGTATACAAGTAATACGAATAAACCAAAAAAAATGAGTTCAAAATCGTTTTCTAAATTGCAAAAATTGAAAAAAAAAAGTTTTTTTTTCATCCAATTCATCTTCTAGAATTCAAATCAAAACCGAGTTTCGTTCATGGCATCGATTCAACTTTCATGCCAACGTGACTCACCTGTCTGGTCAAACTGCCGCCCAAATTCATGGTACCGGATCCGGTTTTGTTGGTTTGCAACCAAAGCATCGCGGTTGATGTAAGTTTATAATGGGCCATACGTCCCGAGCTCTTCTCCTGCACTTCAACCACATGAATCGAGTCCCAGCAACCTTTAATTTTTTTGCTACCATCGCCGGCCTTCTTAATCAAAATAACGCCGGCAAATCCATGGTTCAAATCCCACAAATACACCGATGAAACGCCACCCTCATAGTACATATCACGATATTGGTCGAATGCATGATTCGCTTCGATTTCCAATTTACGCAAACGTTCGGACGGCATTGATCCATCTTCAAGCGGTGGATCGTATGTGTTTGACCATGGTGATCGGTATGAATCACCATCCCGATTATAATCACACAGCAAATAATCTCGTCCACTTTCCTTATCTTTGGCCACTTTCAGCGGTTGATCCACCGACGATAGCAAATCCTCACACAATGACGGTGCCAAATCAATTAAATCAATCAAATTCTTTTCGATTTGTTGCGGTGGCAATCGGCGCATCAAGTCCAAAGCACAATCCATTTGTAATTCAGTCTATAAAAACACAGACCAATATGAGAGAAATATTTTTCATTTTTTTTTTCTAAATAAAATAAATCAATAATTTTCATTTCCAAGCAAAAATCCAACATTTTCATTGAAATTCATTAAATTTATCCATTTAAAAACTGTGCATGGGCGTGCCAACTCCAGTTTTCATAGTGACACCATAATACACAATTCACAAGAAATTCTCGCTCAGTGGCTACCATAATGTCGTCGTGCCATGTAATTGAATGTGTCAATGATTTCATCCGTGTAATAAACTTCGCTTACCATTTTTTTTTATTTTCTGTTGCTATTATTCTTTTGCTATCACACAGAGGAAATAAAAAAGAAAACAGGGCAAAATGGCTTTGGGCTAGGACAAATCAAACAGCAACAATTTTATTTTATACACAGAGTTATTACTTTGCACTCGATTTCGTTTTGAAAACACAATTTAATCACAACAAATCCCCCATATAGTTTTGGAACAGAAAAAATAATAATGAAAAACTCGAATAGCAAGAGAATGAATGTGTTGTCTTCGGTGTTTTACTTCTTTCTTAACTGTGTATATATGTGTATGTGTGAATGCATATACAGTCATGTTTGTTACGGGAAAGAGTGAGAGAGAGAGCGAGAGAGCGACAGAGAGTTGACGTATCAGAAAAGTATTGTGTGTTGAACTACGAAACAACAGTTTGACAGTTCCATTCACATACTATCTCTCTCTCCTACTCCAACCGGCATGAATATGTTCACAAACAGCATACAACTACAGCACGGTAAATGCATTCGAGAATGACAGCAGCCATCGTTTGGTTTATACTACATTTGTACTTTTAATGTGATGCTTTTAGACTTTTTCGACCAGAAGATAATTTTTTTAAAAAAGAAAATCCAGTTTTTCAAGCTTTTTTTCTAATTTCATCTATTTTAAACCAAAAAAAAATTGCTCAAAGAATGCTGAATTTGTATGTGTTGACCGAATCATCGAATGACAGAGCGAGACAAATGCATGACAAACACAAAACAAGAACAGAAAAAAAGCAACACCTCAACTACGGACTACGCGCACTCTACTGTTGTACAAGTGTATATAAATTGGTATTCTGTCAATCGCAGAGAGAGAGAGAGAGAGAGAGAGAAAAAAGAAGAAGAAGACCAGTTGAAAAAGTGAAAAAGAAAGAGTGAACAGACAACAAGACGATCATTTTTCTTATTCACTTTATTTCATTCTTTTTTATTTGCAACCAATTTTTTCTCTGTTTCCACAAAATTTATTGAATTTGTGTTGAATATTTACGGAAAAAGTGGAAAAAATTTTTCACCATGTAGTCGTTGGCGTAGTGTCACCAGCAAAAGATAAAATAGTTTGCGAAGAAGGAAAAAAAGAGAGAATTGGGTGCGGAAAAGGCTATAAATACAAATATGGATAAGTGTGTGGAAAGTGTCTCGAGATGAAGAAAAATGAAATAACTCTCGTCGTCGTCGTGAAATCAAGTGAAATTATATTGTGGAATTGAATGATCACGACGTGTTGTGTCTCAACGATACTAGCACTCAAAGATAAACAGCTCAAGAATTGATCGATTGATCAAAATCATTTGCAGCTTTTTTTTCGTTCGTGTGTTGATTTTTTGTTCCTTCAATGAAGCAGTTTTTTCATACACTTTTTTGCAAAGAGCCAAAAACTCATTAGCCCAGTACTCATTAGTGATCGATGAAGCAAACACATACAAATGTATATGTGTATCCGTAATGAATATTGGGTTTCGGAGTTGTTTAAGGTTGGATCAAGTGCCTTTTCAATGTTGGACAAAGTGACATTTCCTATTTTATAATTCGGGTTAAGTGAATCAAGCCCGTAGGAAGAAAAAAATAATTAAATCCAATTGTGACAAAAAAAGCGTTAATTTCTTGTGTCTTATTTCGAAATCGTCAAGGGGCCTTCAAATTTGTATCTTAATCTATATGTGACTCACGACATCAAAACCACGATACGCTGCGATTGGATCGTTTACAACAGAACAGAACGAAAAAAAAAAACATAAATATTGATTCGATAGTTCATGCGAAACCAAGAAGAAGAAAAAGTAAAAAAAAAAATCGCAGCAGCAATAACGGTGGCCAAATCGAGTGCCAACAAAGCAAAGCGAAAAGAAGAAGGAAACAAAACGACGGTCGCAATTCCTAGACTCTCAATGTACACACCAAGCATTTTAACTGTCTTATTTCAGTGGTTATTTCTTCTGTTCGTGTCGTCTATATGTTTTATTGTGCGCTTCGTATCAAACGTATTATTTTTTTATGTGTGATTTGTTCAGTATAGCGCATTCAGTTAAGTTACGGTGTAATCGTTTCTATTGTTGACTTGACTTTTTTCCATTCATTCTCTCGTGTGCTGATTTTTTATTTCGGATAATTCTTGTACGTATAATTTTTGTTTTTTTTTTTTGTAACGGTGTGTAATTGTCTGTGTCTGCGTTGGAGCAAGTTCGTGTGTGCAATGAATTTTTTGTGTGCATTAATTCATGTTTTACGGCTGTAGAGTAATGTGGTGCTTGTCTTACATGTGCTTCGAGTCTCCATTTAAATCGTATGGAACTTGTTGTGTGCGCGACAAAGGCAATAATAATAATATTGAAGCAAGCAAGCAAAAAAGCAACAACGTATTCAGAAAAGAGCTAGCTGAAAAGAGTGCATGTATTCATTGTGAACGACGAGTGTTTACGTTGACACCTGAGCCTGTGATGTGAACCGCAAAAATAATACACACATAAGAAGAAAAAAGAACCGAAACGAAGGGAAGGAGAGACGGCACAAACGACGAAACGTTAAACAAACAAAATTTAAGCAGCTCTATCAAATAATTACAACAACACGAAAATCAACGGTGAATCAAGAGAAATATCAAAGCACCGAATCAAACGGAAAACAACGGTGGCAGTGGTGGCAGCGGCGGCAATAGCAGAAGGAAAAATCGAAAACGGCTCCAAATGTTCAACACAATGTACACTGGTTTCGCGTTTCGGTTGAGGCGACAGCGATAACTTTTAATCGGTAAGTTACCGTTTATTCTAATTCGACCGCAAAAATAGCAACAGCAACACTAAAAACAACAGCAGTCGAGAAAAAAAAACCGTCACAAAAATAGGTTGGCGATGGCAATCTCTCGCTATCGATCATACACTTTTTTTTTTCATTCGTTCGTTCGTTCGCCACTTTTAAAATTAGCTGCTAGTGATAAATTATTTATAAATTGCATCTGATTCATAGAGAGTTGCTGTTTACGCACGCCACATGTGTGGGGTGCACCAATGCACACCGAACAACAACAAATTACCAGCGCAATTTGTTTTTTTTTTCTTTTCAATGTGAACAAAAATGTTGAGGCATGTCATAATTACAAATTCTGAAATTTCGAAACAAAGTTTCAATTTTTGTTTCGTTGCTACAATCTATTCTCCAATGGTAAATGGTATGTGTATTGGTTTTTACGGTAGCTCACACGAAGGCCTTTAAATTCGCAAAAAAAAACTAATAATAATAGAGACTTGATTGAGTTGCATATTTGACTTGATTTTCTAGCTCACATAAATTTGTATGCTCACCCAATAAGTTATTGTGTTGATGTTGATTGCGCTTCCATCGTAATTGGTGCATGTTACCGCTCAAAGCAATTGGATGACTTTTTGACGCTATGTGCAATTTTCAGCAGGTTTCTCACTCAAAAAGTTCATTCACTGTTGCAGCGAGTGAGCGAGTGAGCGAGCGAGCGAGCAAGTAAGTGAGTGAGTGAGTGATTGAATGAGTGCTAGCGCGCATAGTTAGTTTCAGTTGCAAATCCCAAGACACATTTGAAACCGTCGACTGTCCACAATTGTTTGTAACTTAAATTGTGTTTATTGATCACATAATTCAATTCGATTTTGCACTCTATATTTATACCAGATTCGATCAATCGCCTTTGTCGCCACAATATTCAAAAATAAAATTCTCGCGCTGAACAAACAGACGATTTGCAAAATCGTCATTGCAATGGGATATCGTTTCGCCCAAGTTGTAAACACACAACAACATATACAAATCGAATAAAAAGAGAGAGAGAAAATGAATGAGATTACTCAATCTTCTCGTTGTTTGTTTAATACACAGAAACTGTATTGTCGATTGATCGTCGTTGCATCTGCAATCGTCTTTTGCCGTCGTCTTCGTCGGTCGTCGGTAGTATTATGCGTCCCATTTCATTCTCCGCATTCTTACTCGCTGCTCGGAGCGCACACAAAGCACAATTGTTGTGTTTGCGTGAGGTCTTATTTGCACAGTATACAATCAGCGCAGCGTTTGCTTAGACGCTTATTATTTACCCAGCAGAATGAACGAAACAAGTGTAATATTTTTGTGAAAAGTGACGAGAATTTGTTCTAGCCAAAGTAAGAACACACCGCCATTTAAAACATTTAACACTTTCCATTCACTTATAAATCAAGCATTTTTTTCTACTTCAGCTCTCTTAATTGAATTTTCTACACTATAAGCTAAGCTAATTAAATTCTTCTACCATGCAATTAATCAGTTTGGTTTAATTTCTTTTTGTTTTCAGATAAAAAGCATCGATGGATACTAATTGATCACGCACAACGTAATTGTAATAAATTTGTGATCGTAATTTTTCGGATGGGAATCGTTTTATTGCACAAACAAAAGATAAGAAAAGTGAAAAACAACAACAACGAACAGCGCACACAGAGTGGGAGTGAGAGGGCGAAAGAAGAGAAGAGATTATGGCGTCAGGTGAATTATCGTTAACGAGTAACAGCAGCCAAGAAGGCAGTCACGAGTTTAATTGCTATCCGAATGATCGGCCACGCAAAACATCGGCCGATAGTACGAAAACCTTTGAAACCATCAAAAAGCAATACGATGAAGCGCTCATGGAGCTCAATTCGTTGCGAATGCGTGAAAGTAATGGTGAAATGCAAATGAGCCATCTCACCAAGCAATTGGAATTTTACAAAGAAAAGTACATGGATGCAATCAATCAAGTTGGCCAAACGGCCATCGAAGGAACATCATTGCGCACCAAATATGCGGACATATCCAATGAAAATCGACGACTACAGCAGCGCATTCATCATTTGGAAAAACAGGTTACACAACAAGAAAATGGTACACATCAAACCGTTTGCACATTTCACGAGCAATACAATGATTTGAAGAAGAAATACGAAACGAATCGCATTGAAATGGACAAGCAGCTGAAGGAAAATGAAATGTGTAAGAAAAAGTGCGGTGATTTATCGCGAGATCGTAATGCATTCGCACTAGAGAAGAACGACTTGAAGCAACAGTTGACAAAAGCGATCACACAACTGGAGTCGGCACTGCACGAGAAGAACATGTTACGAGAATCACGGGATAAGGTGATGCAACAAAATGAATTTCAAATTAAAGAGATGCAACGGTTGATGAACGAACGGGCGGATGAGCTGAGACGCGTGACCGCACAACGGAATGCAGTTAAATTGGAGTTGCAAACCATTTTGGGTGAAAAAGATGTGGTCCTGGAAGAGAATCAAAAAATGAGCGATGAATTGACTGTAGCAAAGGAACAGTTAGAAAAACAGTATAAAAATGATCAATCGATTTTATATGAAAATGAATCGCTCAAGCGGCTACGAGACGATTTGCTGGCCGAACGGAATTGTTTACGCGAACGCCTCGAGGAAAAGACACACGACGGCAACTGGAATAATGATCCAGATGCAAAGGAGAAATATCAACTCGATTTGAGTGCAGCCAATAAAGAAATTGAAAAATTGCGCAACAGCCTGGAACGCGTCAAAAGTGAATTGAGCAAAGCGCTCGAAGAAACAGAGGTGGCGAAATCAAGACGGTAAATATCGATTTTAATGGAACGAATTGTGATTTGTTTTTTTTTTACCTCATGTGTAGTTCACATGTACTCAGAATTGGTCGTTTTTTTACTTTTTCATTTTGTTCATTGATTTTAATCAGTTTTGATTCATTTTCATCTTCACTTTCAACTTTTCAAATTTTTGAAGCTGAAGGACCAGACTCGAAAAATTCCATAATTTTCGACATTTTTTCAACCAATTCCAACACACATCACGATCATTTCATACTGCTATCAATCAAAAAACTTAATCAATTGATTCCCTACCATTTTTGTTTTTCACAGAGATTGGGCGATAACCGAGCGTGAAAAGATCGTCTTGGAGCGTGACAATGTGAAAATCCTCAATGATGAATTGCAAAAAGAGCGTGATAATGCCGTTTCGGATTTGTTGCAAGCGATTCGGGACAGTGAAGAAATCAAGAAGCAAAAAGATGAGGCGTTCCAAGAGATTGAGCATTTGCGCAAGCAGCTTGAATCGCAGGTCAATTGTACACGACGCAGTATTCGTTGGAGCTATACACCATTCGAGATGGAAGCATTGCCGAAAAATGACACCGAAGTCGTTGAGATCGATATGAGTAGGGTGGGTCCAAATGATGATATCGGCATAGTACTTGAGGGTGGACGAGAGGATTCACAAAATCGTATTGATGGTAACATAACGGTGGTTAGTGTATCGAAAGATTCGCCAGCCTACGGGAAACTTCGACCAAATGACAGTATAATGCTAGTAAATAACATCGATTGCTCCTCATTTTCGAAGCGAATGGTCATCGAGACCATTCGTAACGGCGGTGAACAGTGTGATATTGTCGTGAAACGACAACGTGTGACCAGAGCGCATATGTATGCCGTGCAATTAAATCTGTTGAATACAAACCGTGATCATGGTTTAACATTGGAATCGGGCATTTTCATATCGAAAATAGCGCCAAGTTCGTTAGCATCGGCTGAACCAGATTTAACGGTAGGTGATCGCATTTTGACCATAAACAATCAATCGATGACCATAAACAATCAATCGATGGAGGGCATATTGAGCGGTAAAGATGCAATGGCCTATTTGAATGATGAACGCCCTGATTCGCTACATATAATTGCTCTGAAACAGGTGACTCACTCTTCGGACACAGACACCTTCAATCGCAATAAACCGATTCAAATGGAAAGCGCATGCACACAAACCGACGAACGGTTCAGTTTCGAAGGTGAGTCCACGCGAACCAATTCATCCGGCAATTCAAAGTCCACATCGAAAATATCGGAAATGTTTAACAAATTCCGTGGAAAAATCCACATGCACGGTCACAGTAATCAAAAGGGAAGCACTGCCTCGGAAAGTGATAGTTTGTGTCAAGAGAATGATGCAATTGCAGCACTTGATTCGGTGTTGAACAACGAAAACACAACCACTACTGGCAAGATCAAAGAGAATATTTTCAAGCGATCAAAGAAAGCAAAGAAGGAAACAACGAAAGAAGTGAACAAGAATTTGGGCACATGGCCAAGAGCGAATATTTTGAATACGGCCACCGGGCAAGAGAATCATACAGGAACAATTGTGCAACATCGCAAGAAAGAACGACCGGCTTTGTCGCTGTTCACTGGGCCAATTACATTGGGCAAAGATGAAAAGCCGCTCGGAATGAAAAAGGATAATTACTTCAATGCTCACATGCACGACACAGCACAGATGACTGTGAACAAACCGGGATTAGCGTTGGTATCCGGCTCAAATCGCAATTCAAATCCAATTCCATTTCATTATCCACCTTCGGGCTTGAATCGACACTCCGTGTATTCAACCATGGAAACTGAACCAGTGATGCAATCGAAAAATCTGCCCGACATGAATCGCAAGTATCATTACCACCATCATCATCATAACAACAATCGGCTGAGCTTGAATATCACACCGTCATCGGATAATAACGGACTCATCGGTTATAACACCGTTATCAATCGCAAGAACAACACCAATACTCTTGACACAAAAGTATCCAATCATCCAATGTCAATGGATTATGTGGCATTGAAAAATTCAACCGATTCGTTGCTCAATTCAAAAAGTCCAATGTCATCGCTGGATTTTAAGCCAAATCTAACACATCAACAACCGCAGGATCTCATTTCATTGAAAAGCCAAAATTCCATTGACTCGTTTTTATCACCAAAAAGCCCACCATCGTTAGATTCGGCCAAACCAATGTATCCGTTAGAAAATCAAGACTTTTATAACAAACGATCGTCGAAAAATGTTTCGAAATTTCCAAGTGACAGCGACAGCTTGGGCATGGAATCGATTTCATCGCCAAACAACAGTTACACCAGCACATTACCATCATATGCAACGAACAACCGGGCAATGCTTTCGTCAACGTCAAACGGACGCATTCAACGAATGTTTTCGCCGTTTGCAAATCACGTTCATCCACATCATATGAGACAGACCAGCCCACTCACGATCCCAATGACGCAATCACTTGATATTGCAGGTAAATGGAATTAAATTCTCGTTTTATGGTCAAATCGCATGAAATTTATTTTTTTCTGCATTTTAAAATGGTTATAAGAGTTTTATGAACTTATGAGCTTTCCAAAAGACACTTAAACCATTTTATTTCAAACTCAAAATACAATCTAAACACTTTTTTGCTCTTCAGGAAACAACAACTCGTCCGACAAACTTGAATACGAATTCGTTCAACCAGTTCATCATTCACATGGTGTCTCTATGGATATTGATCAGTATCAACGAAATAAAGTGCACCCGATTCGTGATCGTGATATTATTTACGGCAGTTATGGTCATGCCTATGAAGGTGGAACGTTCCCGCGTAAGAAGGAGAACCAACGGGTTCGGATCCCATCGAATCCGAGTGTTGCAAGCAAAAGTAGTGATATGAAAGACAGCACTGGTTCAATTGAACACAGCGAACATGGCTCACCCATGCCACCGCCGTTCAAAGTTGAGGTTCTCAGTCATGGAGCCAACCACAAAATGTCGGATCATAATCCAGCTCCTGGCTACTTGCGCCGAATCACCATCGATAAACTCGCCGGACCACTTGGTATTACGATTCAGTGCAACGAAGGCGGCGGTATTTTTGTTTCGACCGTCACAACGAACAGTATTGCAAGTCGGGCTGGACTGCGTTGCGGTGATCAATTGCTTGAAGTTTGTGGAATTAACATGCGAGACACTAATCACAAAATCGCAGCAAAGATCTTGAGACAGTGTGGTAACACAATGACAATGCTCGCTCAGTATTGTCCAGATAGTAAGTGTGGCTCTCGATTTCTTACACATTTTTATTCGTAGAAAAAAGAGTGTCAAAGAAATCAAAAATATGAAGAAAAAAAAATTAAAAAGCAAATGAACCAGATTCCAAACATAATTTTTCCTCCACCACAGAATTTCACGGAAACATTGTGCAACACATAACCGAAGAAGATAGCGTGAGTCGTTCTGGTTCACCAACACCTCGAAACTCACCGCGAGGCATTACTCGATCGATCGCTTTGTCATCTCGTCCAGTTAGCATGCAGCCAAAATCTGTTCCACAGGCAATTCCCAAACGGTCGCTAATGTCCTCGAATATGAAGCAAAAGTTTTCGGATAGCCTAGAAAATCAATCAGATTTCAGTCAAACTGGATCGCCCGATATTTACGATGAAGAAGAACCACGCGTTTTGACGTTGAACACAAAGAAAAGTACGAATTTGGGCATAAGTTTGATGGGTGGAAATGCTGTCGGAATTTATGTGCATGATGTGCAGAAGAATTCCATTGCTGATTTGGCATTGATGAAAAAGGGTGATCAAATTCTTGAATACAATGGAGTTGATTTGAGAAGAGTCACCGCTGAATATGCGGCGATGGAAATTTCGAAACCATGTGACAAAGTCACTGTGCTCGTTCAACACAATATGACAAGTAAGTAGAGCCAAAATGCAAATACACCAACAAATAAGTAAAAGAAAAATCTAATTTTTGTCATTTTCCATTTTCAGAGTTTAATCAAATCAAAGATGAAGCCGGAGATTCACTGTATTTCCGCGCTGGTTTCGATCGCACTGGGGAACTGAACGATGGAGAGCTGCGTTTCGTTAAAGATGACATTCTTTATGTGGATACGACCATTTTTCGTGGCAAATTTGGACAGTGGCGAGCCTGGAAATTGGATGAATATGGGCATCGTTTGAGATGCGGAATCATTCCAAGCCAACTCAAGTTAGTTTTATTTTTTTTAATTTTCCAAATGTCTTTGGGCGAGATCTTGAGTGGATGAACATTTTCAGTTCTTTAAACAACCAACAGTTCTGAATTCCACATTTAATCCATATTTCAAAACTTCTACTGAAGACAAAATAATGCAACGTCAATTTAAGATGTAAATAATAAAATTTAAATCCAATTTTTTTTTATGTGCAGAATTGAAGAAGAGTTGCGTCTACTGACCGACACGGCCGATGGTGAAGGAACCACAAAACGGAAATCAGCACGAAGATCATTTTTCCGTCGCAAAAAACATCAACGCAGCTCGTCACGTGATTCAAAAGATTTATCCAGTTTTAGTAGCACACAACTCAGTTGGTTCACCGATTCGGGCATCGTTGGCGAAGATGGCATGCTGTCGAGCTATCAACGAGTTGAGCGATGCGATTGTAAGTTTTAGGAAAATTGTTGTTTATTTGAATTTTTTCAACAAAAATTTAATTTCTTTCAATGATCTTTTGATTGTTTTCAATTATTTCCATTATTTTAATCGATTTTCAACGATTTACATTCATTTTCATTATACTTCACTGATTTTCGTTCATTTTATCATTATTTTCACTCATCCTCGTCTAATACCATTGATTTTACATGTAAAATAACAACAAGAAACGACAAAAGTGACCTCTCGTAACGGCACAGTTGAAACTAACAAAACAAACACAATTGAACATGTCATTTTCATGTTCAGTGTTGGTTCTGTTGTTTGCCGTATAGCCGGAGAGAGATGTCTACAGCTTCGTGGCGTTGAATGACATTCAACACCCATGTTTTCACTTTTATTCCGTTAAAGTAGCTCAATCGAAAAATTATAATAAATTCGTTTCTATTTCAGACATGTGTCGCCCCGTATTAATCCTTGGCCCATTGGCCGATTGTGTTGCTGAAAAGTTAACAATTGATTTTCCACAAGCGTTCGATCGTCTTTTGCCCACAACAATGAATTGTACGCAAGAGAATATGGAAGAAGGACTGCAAAATAATATTTTAGTTGATTATAGACGCCGCGGAAGTATTTATGAGTGCACACCGGTGCAAGCGATCCGAGATCTATGTGAAAAGGTGAGCAAAAGAAGTCTTAATTCATTGAAAAATATTTTGCTCACAATTTTATTTTTACTATTTCCTATTTTTCGGATCAGAAAAAAAAGCATTGACATTGAGTTTTATCATTTTAATATGAAAATTTCGTTTGAATGACCTTGATGGTCATTCGAAGATCAACAAAACCACAATTCATGCCAAAAGTGACGCAATTTCTCAACAAAAGTGATTAATAAACTGTCTAATCATTTCAGAATCGTCATTGTCTGCTCGATGTCAGTATATCGGCTGTGGAGCGTCTCAAGCGTATTCAAATCTACCCAATAGTATTGTTGTTGCGCTTCAAGTCTGCGCGTCAGATAAAAGAGATCAAAGACAAAATGTCAGAAAAAGCAGCAAAAGAAATGTATGAGCATGCGCTCAAGCTGGAATCTGATTATCGGCAATATATCTCAGGTGAGTTGACAAATGTTTTGAGTCGCGAGTTGCGAATCTTATTTTGTTTTTTTTTATCATTAATTGCCTCATGAAATCGTATGGCTAAAAATAAAAAGAAAATGTTCATAATTTCAGCTGTCATCCCAGCGGGTGTCAACATAACGCACATGAGTACACAAATCAAAGCTGCTGTTGACGAAGAGCAAAATAAAGCACTATGGGTTCCCATCACAAATCCATAGACACACACACATACACTGTGCTGCCAAAAAAAGGAAAAGTGTGCACTAAAAAGTGTCTTTGAAAGATAGACATTTCAATATACGTCGACTAAAACCCTTCCTGATCGACATTTTTCAAACGGATCGCAACAATTTTTATCAACATTTTCTACGATATTTGATATGTCTTTTTAACGTATTGTATTTTCAGAAAATTTTGATATGGAACTTAAGAGAAACATTTTTTATATGAGATTGATATACAGGAAGCAGGACTCGTCTTCCTCAATCGGATCTAACCAAACACGACTAAAATTTTAAACGAAACAGAAAAAGAAGTAGAAGTAAACGAGCAATCGCTTTTTTTATCAAGTATTTTATTGAATAAATTGGTGCTTCAAATTCGAATTTTATAAGAATTAGCTTCTAATTGTTACTGGTTATTGGATTTATTATTTTTTTTAGTTGAATTTAACCTAGAATTTATTTTTTATTTGCAATAACCTTCTTGTAGTAGACAATAGAAAAAAAAATTATTTTAGAACTCTTTTAGTGAAGACACAAGAAAATTATATTTTAGCAAATTATTAGAAATAACAACACGAAAAAAAATTGATAATGCAATAAAGTATTAAAAAAAACAGACAAAAATTAACATTTCTTTGTCGATCGAAATGAAAAAACAATTTTTTCTTTCGGTAAATTTTCGATTATTCATGAAATGGTTTCAATTAACTTTTTTGATGATGAAAAAGAAGAAAAATCAGAAAATTTGTATGTTTTATAAAAACTTATAGACTATTTACATGTATGAGAGAACGAATACAACTAGTGCATGCTAAACCCTAAGGTTCTTATCATCATTTAATTCAAACGGATCGTTTTACTCTTCATTTTTTTTTTCATTTCAATCAATGCTTTTATTATTATATCATAAAAGAATATTTTGTATGTTTTTTTTCTTTCGTTTTTTTTTATTGTAATAAATTGTTTTACACGAAAAAAAAGGAAATAAAATTGTTTGATTTTGAAATCTAAGTTACGACAAAAAAAGAAAGAAAGATACACGCGCGACTCTCACTTAAACTATTATTTTTTTCACTAGCCTTTTTCGGGATAAATATTTCACTGTGCAACAAATAAATATGAGCGATGAATGAGTTTCTAAAATGGATTTAAATATTATTATTGATTTTAATTGTAGATTGTTCACTTATTTACAAATTGTTTCCTAATTTTTAAAATTCCATGTTCTCGTTGAACATTTCGGAGAAGTCGTCGCTGAAATGGCTCTTTTTATGGAACCAGTCACTGTTGGAATGGTTGTACTCATTTTCTTCGTCATCCAGCACTTCCACATCCATTCTCTCTTCTGCATTTGCTTCGTCGTCGCCATTTTTGTAGTATTTCCCCATTGATCGCGGACTGCGCGATGTCACTCGGTATTCAAATGGAATGTTGTAGCATTTGCAAATGCAACAGGATGGAAAACGAAACCAATCGGAGAAGATACCACGACATTCATTGTGCGGATCATAGGCTAAGAGACGATGAAGACGGTATTGTTGCTCACTGAAATGAAGAGAAGAAACATTTTAATGATTTTCATTATTTTTTTTAAACAAAACCTTCTGATATTCAACAAAAAAAATCAAAAACAATCTTTCAAATTTAAGAAAAAAACGTGGACAAAGTTCCAACGGAATATTCAGAAAGAAACGAAATTAAAAAAAAAATCATTGAAAAAATAATGACAAAAATTGAAAATAAAATGAAAAAAAAAGAAAATTCGATTTAAATGTAATATTTAAACTAACCAGCGACATCCATCGCGGCAATACATCTGCTTATGTTCCTGTGTGCATTTCTCCCAATGCACGTACTGTTCAAACGGATACAGATTGAGTAGAGCCAATACTTCGCCTCGAGTGTTATTGGCCCAAAATGGAGCTACCACTTCTTCTTTCACTGGACAAGCATTTCTATGGGAGAATTCCAAAAATATATTTCACATTTTCTTCGAATTTTTTTTCAGTGTTTTTGTTGAATATTTAAATCGTTAATCCTAACGTGAATTCAGAAAAAATGCAATTTTTTTAATTGTTCCAAAATGATCAATAAATTTTCTTCAGTTTAATGACGATAAATCTTTGATTAAGTCAAATTATAATTTTTTTCAATCATTTGTGTCAAAATTATTGAAAGAAAATTTTTCTTTGTCACAATGTATTTTCATGCCGACATCAATTTCTACTTACACTCCTTTCGAGTTGATCAAAACTGGTTCTTCTTTCTGAGCCACATCTTGATACAGCTGACCGATGATATTTTCATCGGGTTTTGTATCTTTGTCTGGCTTCGTATTTCCATCGATATCAACAATGCTTTCTGTATTGATCGACTCAGCTGATGTTGAATCTTCATCGATGGCAACGCTTGCTGGATCTAATTCGCTTGAGTCAACTTCAAAATGTATTAAATTTTCATCGACTTGACTGGCTGGTGTTGTGTTATTCTGTTTCAAAAACAAGCTTTCCGTTCGATTTTCGGCCGTAACATTTTCGATTGTTGTATTCAACGGTGCTGCGGTTGTAGTTCGTTCTTCTTTCGTATATCCATAAATTCTCAATGTGGTTGAAATTGTGGCTGCAACTTCTGATTTATTGGCTTTGTCCGATAAATTAGGTGCACCAACAATTTCGATATTATCATTTGGTTCGTTTCTAAGTTCGGTGGCCATATCCTCGGCATCGCTAACATTTGAAAATACCCTTTTATTTGCAATGTTTGCGTTTTCGTTACCAAATTGATCGAAAATCTCTTCAATTGCTGCTTCGATAACTTCTTCGTATGGATCGTCATCGCTTTTTTCTTTTGAACTCTCCGGTTTCCGTGTTAATTTCGCGCTGGACACTTTGCGTTCGGTTGGTTTTGACCTTTTGGTTGGTGTTGATTCGGTTATTGATGCAAGTGTTGAGCTTGGCGCTGAAGTTTCGACAGTTGATGATGGAACTGAGCTCGGTATTTGTGTCGTTCGACTACGTGAACGTTGTGTTGATCGACTCGTAGTGCTACGAGCAGTTGACGCACGTCGATAGTGCGATTCCGATAATAAGTCACTGTTTTTCGATTTTGATGATTCCTGATACAAATACTTGTTGCGTTTCCATCCAGCGCGTGAATATCGAACGGCCGTCTCTTCCACATCTTCCAGTGTGATGTCATTATTGTTGATTTCATTTCGTAGCACGGATATATGACGCACATCGCCGTACATTCGTTTCATCATTCCTTGATTCTCGTTCACAAAGCGTCGCACCGCGTGCCATGGATACATTGTGCCTGGCAGATTACAATATGCTTGCGATGACAAATCACATGGGATCGATTTGAGCAGCTGAGCACGACCGCGACGAGCCGTTTTCTCATTGTTGCATGCCGTACCTGCATCAAATCCAAAGCCAACAATGGCTGGCACAACAAGTGCAAAAATCACAACTAAAGTCAACATTGAATTTTTCGTCTGAAAAGAAGATAAGATAGAGTTATTTGGTTTCAAAAAAGATGTTTCAACATTTTTATGGTTATTTTTACAAAAAATTGGAGAAAAATATTGTTCGAAGATCAAAAATCCAAATCGAGACACAATGATTTCCATAGACATTAATTACTATGACAAAATGGTGATCGTGGCATAAAATCGCTGCAAATTGGTCAAATTTGCCGAAAAATAAGGCGATAAAAATGTCGAAAACGCCTAAAAATAGATATAAAGATCAGGTAAATGACTAATGCTTGAAACAAAAGATCGATTTATGGACGAAAAAACCGTTTTACATACATAAAATTGGCATGCGATTTTAATGTGACGGGCGAATGATGACAAGAGAGAGAGAGAGAGAGAGAGAGAGAGAGAGAGAGAGAGAAAGAAAGAGACAGCGAAAAATGTGGAAATAGAAGAGTTTGATTTGCGATTGATATCGCTCTCTCGAAATGCATGGATGCATTTCCATTGTAAGGAACGGTCGTCATTTTTTGCATTGATAAATTATGCATTTGTTGACTAAAGGCAAAATAGATTAGAAAGTGGCTTGAGTTTTGTACGTTTTTTTTCCGACTTCTTCATTTTCTTCATTTTACTTGATCTTGCAATGTGTTGTTGATTTTTGTGTGTTATGTTTTTTTTTCGTCGTGCCTTTGCTTGCGACAGCCTTTCAACGGAACACATATAAATATGCGCAAACAGCGGCGCAGTGAGAGAAAGAAATACCAATAACATTGGTCAACAATTATTTCATATTCTTTTCACATTTCTTTCATCATCCGATATACACCACGGTAAGAGCATTTCTTTTGTGAGCATTTCTTCTTCTTCTTCTTCTTCTTTCGGGCTCTTTCTTTCTCTCTTATGGTTTGTGTTCGAACGAAGTCAAAGTCGTTTAATACGTGTATGTTGCATTCTCTTGTCTCGTCGTCGAGCTGGCTTAGTTACCCATCGACCGACTGATCGCAACACTCACTCACACACACACACCAAATAGCAATCCGATTAAATATTCATAAAAATTTCACTCTTGATACATACTGAGGTGACTTTTTCCCGTTGATTTTTTTTTCTTCTTCTTTCTTTCTTTTCCACATTACTCTTCCTCTCTATGTTCGTTCTGTGGAAGTTTGCACCGTGAACAACCCAGCACATGATGACAGCATCAACAACCAATGCAAACATACATTTTGCCCACACGGTGAAATGTAAATACAACAAAAATGAGCAGCAGCAGCAGAGATTCAGTTATGATTATTGTTATTGTTGTTGATGGAATGCTACATCTTCACTTGCACCATCGATAACATTTTTTTTCAGCCAAAGCTGAATTAAATACCGTGAAAAAAGTCAGTTTTGGCTACACATTGAAATTCCGCTTCGCCGTCCATGGCGATCTTTCACTTTGTGCGTTGTGTGTGTGTGTGTGCACGAATGTGCGTTAGTGTAAACATCATTGATTATGCTTAACAGCATTCGAAGTACTTTATGCATGTGAGCTGCTTTTTTTTGTTCGAATCGAGCGCGATGGGCAATGGAAAACACAACACCGATAATAAAATCAAGTTTCAAAAGAAATTGAGACAAAAACTTTTACTTTTCGTTGGGTGTTGCGCGCATACGCTCACCCGCCTTCGTTGAGACACGCGAAGAAAGTATTATTTTATCATTATATTGATTTCAAAACATCTAACACACTAGGCAGTCCAATTGATTGCGTGTGCGCACGCATCATTCACAACTAACACGGACGATTTTTGTTTTCGGTTATAGATCCGGAGCCGTTTAAAGCTGCGCCAGAAGCTGGTCTCAAGGTCGTAAAAAGTGAATCGTATTCAAATGATTTACGTCGTCTCGATGGACCATTCATTTATAATAATCATTCGATCTTTAGATTATGCAGTTTTTATTGGAAACTGTTCACATTTTGACCAATCGACGAGTGTGAGAGTTGGAACTTTCAATTGTTCAAATGTTTATTTTAGTCGGGTTTTTTCCATTAGTTGGATAAACAGTTATGGTGCAATCAGATTCGGCTTAAAGTCGACACTTCAAATGTTTTTACACTTCCGTCATATAACGCAACCATTTCTCGGTATTTCAAATGAATTCATGGCATGACAAATTGTTATCACGATATTTTCTCGTTTCGATGAATATTTAGTCGCCGTCGTTTCCATTTTTGCTTTACTTTCAGTCGATGTTTTCAATCAATTCAACTCTTTCCTGAGAAGAAATGAAAGAAAATGATCGGGCAATTTGCCAAAAAGAGGTTGGATTTGCTGTTGAAAATCGATAAAGATCGGAAACGAAAAACCTTAAACGGTTTGTAGTTCAATTGCTATCAAAATTTAGTGCACCACTGAAGCACTGTGCTTCTCTTTGCTCTTTTTCATCATTGTTCATTTTCCAATTAACATGTTAAGACTCTGAGTATATTCATACAGTCAAACAGTTCTGCAAATGAACTTTTTTGCTGAAATTCAATTAAACATTCAACGTTTTATTCTGAAACAGGCGTGTTTTTTTTTCTTCTTTTGGAATGGCTTTTATTCCGTGGTGTTGATCGTTATCTCTATACATTATGGCGGTTTTCTCGTTGCATTCACAGACAAAATTCTGCTTAAACAGATTTAAATTGGGTCAGAAGAGTTTAATTATTCACTTAGTAATCGAGAAATGGGCTTGTAATTGCATGGGAATAATTTTCTTTTGTGCAAGAAAAAACAAACCACCATTGAATACTAAATGAATGTGGTAGCGAGATTCATAAGCTGAAATTGTAAGAAAATGTCTAAAAAGGTTAATAATGTTTAATTGAGAGCTAGACGAGTGCAAGCGAAGGAAAGTTATTACATGTCTGCTGCTATATTTTTTTTCCGCATTGTATTTTTTAACATTATATTCGCGATTTATCATATCAATACAAGAGCGTCGACGTTGATAGAGAAGAGAACAGAGTCGGCAGAAAGAAAAGCACACCATATTCGTTTTAATTAATATGGTGCTAAACAGAAACGTAGTAATTAATGGGAGTGACTCCATTTGTTAATTTACGGATTTGTAAACATTTGGCACAAGCGAACTCTCTTCATTCAGCAGAGAGAAGACGGCAATGAATTGGTTTAGCGTAAATTTGTATTGTGGTGTTTGGCCGAAAAAAGAACACACACATACAAAACTCACAAGCGAAAAAAGTGCCGAAATCGAAAAGTAATTTTTGAATTGGTTCTTTAAATCTAGAGCATGTTGGTATTCAGTGTGTGTGCATCTGTTTGTTTGCAACAGGTGGAGTTCGGTATAGGTCCAGCTATACCTTACCGACCAATAACTTTGCCAATTCATTGGGCTATTGTTTCGAAGTGGGCTTGCCGCTTTTTAACGAAGACGAAACAACGAAGTATTTGAAATGTGCACACAATTGACAGAGTGCCTACTTTTACCTGTTTCCTCTCCATTTTCGATGGCTATCGATGTCAAACGATGACAATGAAACAAAAATGTTATGCTGTCTTTTTGATGGACAATACCGAAAATGAATGGCAATGCGCGACAAAAATAAATTATCCGAAAATGAGGCGAATTTGGACTAAATGCTGTGTTTAGCTTAAAACTGTGTGTTAATTAACGATTCGTTAAATGTCAACACTGTTGCCGTCGTCGCTGCTGGATTTGTAACGAAGAAGAAAGTGTTCATTTATAAAACATGTGCTAACGTGTCGTGCTCATGTGACAAGTAAAAGTTTTCGATTTTTTTTTCGAAATCGATATCATTTTTGGCACGAAACCGTTTGGTTTTCTTTTTTCTTCGCTGGTTCTGATTGAACTTACCTCCATTCGTGTTCTTAAGTAATCCATTGGAAAATTAAATAGTCACAGCGCATCTCCGAATTCAACGATCAATTTGAAGAAACCAGTTTTTTTCTTCTCTTCGTCGATTGATTATAATTGCGTTTTTCCGTCTATTGATTACGATTTGAATAACTTTATTATTGTTCAATTCACACTGATTTTGCACGCTACTTTTTTCTCCCAAAAAAAATTCTTCTAATCGGTTGTCATGCAATCATTGTGTTCGCAAATTATGTGTTCCGTTGTATGATTCGACGCAATGTTTTCTGTTCCTGCGTGCTTAATTCGTTCACATTTAATCAATTTTCCACTATTTCACGCACAAATCAATTCAACCGAATGAATAAAGACAAAAAAAAATCGGCCAATAATGATCGGTTGCGGAGCAACGACTCGATCGGGCAAGTTCACTGATTCACTGATTTGCTTTACTTGAGCATTTTTCCACCGTATAATCAATTTTCTTTCTTTCACAGCACCGACCGTTGTTGTTTTGTAGATTTGAACAAACAAAAAAAGGGTTTTTGCTTTCCGTGCGATCGATCGATCGGTTGCGCTCTTTTCTCTTCGATGATTGACAAACGAATGGTTTGGTTTTCAAATTGATGCGATAGTCTCCTCTTACCTTTTTACCGTGGCCGTGTGTTCAATCACATTAAATATTTGCGCTTGTGAGTGTTTGTCGTGTGTTGCTGCTGCTGCTGCTGTTGCGGTTGCTTTTTTTCTTTCTTCGTTCGCTTTGGTGTGTATTGTGTTGTTCGGTTTTCTACCATTTCTTCTTTCATTCGGTGCGTCCGTGCTCAGTTTGTGAGCGTTTCGAGTCGGCAATATGTATATCGATCGAACTGTTTTACACTGTCTGTGTGTAATACACACTGTGTATGCGTTCATTTCTCTTCTTTGCCTTTTTACCATTACACTTTTCAGTTTCGGTATCGGTTCATCGATGCAACACACAACGCTAACAATATATAACTATATTCCAAAACGAAAGATAAATCTCTTTCCATTGCCACACCACAACCGAGAGCCAATTTCTTTCTCTTTCATTTTCCTGCCATCCATTCACATTGCATTGGTTACATTTAATACAAGATGCGATTCAAATGTACGCGATTTAATTCGTTTAGTCTTTTTCTTTTATCGAATTATTACATTACACCGATACCTTACCACACACTATATCATATGCTCTTTGTGCAGTCTTTTTTTCGTCGTCGTTTGTCTTATCTCTCTCTGCAACGCACCAAACCATCTCTCTCTCTCTCTCTCTCTCTCTCTCTCTCTCTCTCTCTCTCTCTGGGCAAATATCAACAACAACAGCGAAAGAATAGCATCAAGCGAAAGAAAACAGGCAACAAAAGCAAATTTAATGTAAAGAGAAAAAGTGTAGATGCCTTTTCGTTTAGTAGGTCAGTGTGTTTTGCTGGTGCTTCGCGCCACCGCGGAATACATGCTGCGCTTTTATTGCCCGTTTGCCCATTACTAAAAGTGCTCACTCTTTTTTTTATTTTTGCTCACTCGCTTGCTCACTTGCTGGAAACGTAAACGATTCATATTTTTTTTGTCTTCGTTTTGTGCACGTTTGTGGGCGATTCGACTCTATTACAATTGTGCATTTATTTCTTTCATTTTCCCATTCCCACAACATTCTCTTCTCTCGCGCAAATGCAGTTTATGGCGCAGCGTACAGCACAACGAGAGTAACTTACGATATTTGAGCTGTACGGCGTTTGATGGACAAAATGTTGATTTGTTAATGAAAACACAGCGAAATAAGAAATCACACAACTACTTAAATCAACGATCTAGCGATCACACACGATGTGGCCAAGTGAAGACAACAACTACTCAATGTCACCTTTTTCTCTATTTAAGTAACATTTTTAGTGACAATGCACTTTATGCGATTCGTTTGCGCCAGAATTCGATTTTTTTTCTTTGTGCTTCAGCTTTCATGGATTGAGATGGATAGGGAAAATGACTTTTAGTAATACGATAGCCATCGTTTAGATTCATTTTCATATTCAAGTTCAGGGTTTTTGCACTTTTTTCGTTTCAAAGGGGACAAAAGAAATCAAATTAAAAGGTAATTAAAGATGAATTGAATCGAATTGGAAAATTTTAACTCAGAAGAATTTAACAAAAAAGAACTACGATTTACGTTAGATAACCTCTTCAAGTGTTTAAAAATAATAATCTCCAGAATTTTAACCTCAAAATCTCTCCGCAGCATTTTTTTCAGTTATTTTTCTTCTTTCGTGGCTTACGGTAAAAAATCGTTTTCGAAAACACCATTTTTATTAAATAAGAAACCGAAATCAGACACTGAAATCATTACCCACAATTACATCAAAGCAATTAAGGAATAATTCACCTTCAAATAAAAAAAAATAATCTTGAAGATTATAAAATAAAGTGAATGAGATTCGTAGAAATGGTTCAAATTAGTCGGTTCAAAAGAGGTTTTAATCATAGTAAATGTTTTTGTAAAAACGATTACGAATCGTTTAGCCATAATTTTTCGTGAAATTGGTCTGAAAGCGCTAGCAAAATGGTCTAATTCTCGATTTGAGATTTTCACATATTGTCTGTGTGGAGTGTATTGCATTTGGGATAAATGGTGTTTAAAATTTAAGTGAAAAACCGTTGAAATAATTTGTGGAGTATTTGAACCGAGCAATAAGGTACACATAGTGTATTTAAGCTTATTCATGTTGTTGTTGTTGAGTGGCTCTTTGTTTCCTCGGTTGAGCAAAACGTGCGAAAAATTGCAGGCAAAGTGAAAGAACCCCAATGGTGAACGATAGCTGTGTGTATTTGTATGCCATAATTTCTTGTTCCCATTGTGTGTGGATCATGTAATAAAATTACGATGAATGTGTAGATTCATTTCTCTCTTGATTCATTGAAGAATGAAGCTGAGATGCGCGATAAGCGCGCTGGCAAATTGAAACGAAGAAGAAGAATACAAAAAAGCACAGCACGAGTAGTAGGTACCATTGCGCGAAGAAAGTAGTCAATAAACACACGCACACACACACGAGAGACACATAGCGAAAATGATATACCATAATTGCCATCATAAAGTAGAGAATCTTTCTAATTGTAAGCCATGAGGGAAGAGAGGTGACGAGATACGTTTTGTTGCTTCAAGAGAGTATTTCAGGCAACCGGCAGACATGCATCACTTGCCGATAGAATGAATTCTTCATCTTCTTCGTCTATGTGTTTTCATGTGAAGAAAATATTTTAGTCTTTTTTTAGGCTTGCACATTCAGATTTGTATTTGATTTAATTTTTTTTTTCACAAAGAAAAGAACGCCATACGAAAAAAGCTGTCTGGCTCAAGTGGCAAATGATCTATTTTTCAAATGAATTATTTCAAACCGTTTCTCTCTCTCTCTCTCTCTCTCTCAACTCATTTTATATGAAGATTTATTACGAGGTTAATCAATCATTTGCCAGAATATGTGCTCATTCTACGTTCAATGTGTAGAAAATCATCGACGAAAGAATTACAATTGTTAGCAATTTTCCGTCGCTTGTGTGCTACAATCCGCATGCAGCTGCAACAATGTTGTTTTCAAAATTCAATGAACAATCGGACGCTCGTCAAAATAATTCGCTCTGAATCAAATGATAAATAGCTTGTGACTATTTGTTTTTTTCTATTTTTACCGAATCAAAATAGAAACAACGGCAGGCGAGCAGAAGAAAAGTGCGAAATTCATCGGGGCAAATTGATTACAAAATCTGAATTTTGCTTTGACGAAGCCAGTTTTCTCTTAACTGGATGAGATGTCACTTTCATTTCGCTTCTGGAATGGCGTAAGTCACAACATGTTGCAAAATTACACGATCGCTGACGGTCGTATGGACGGATCCCAATCAAGTGTGCACGAGTTCTTCTTCGTTTCATTCACTGTTATGTTTGGTGAAAGTAGAACTTCTCTTCACAGCAGGAGATTACCATTTAATTGCTACATTGGATCACAACTCAACAATGTTGTTGAGAAAGAAAGAAAAAATCGTTTATATTGGCTTCTGTTTTATTTCTTAAATTATTAACATAATTGAATAGCATATTTAAAAAGGCCCTCCCACCAGGGTAATTTTATTCCTGTGGCGTAACAATTTCAACACACGAACTTTTTTCGGCGCTAATTCCCGGTTTCTTTTCGGCTGGTCTCATTTGTTCGGACACTTCTCTGACAATTGTTTCGACTTTGTCGGGTAATAAATACTCCAACGGTTCCAAGATTTTTTTCTTATTCAAATAAGACATGCCGCTCTTTTGCAACGCGATCGCATTGATGCTCAAGTGACTCGTTAGTAGGGCAATTGGAAACACATCGTGTATGCACCGCTGGAGATATGGTGTTAAATCATAGGCGAATGCACAGCAAAATTTTACGAAATTATCTCGTTCCTTCGCACCCAGCGCTTGTTGCTCTTGACGATAGAACTTCGAAATGTTATTCGAGACAATTTTCAGGGAATGTTCCAATCGAATCGTAACCTCATTGACTAGGGCAATTGGTGCACAATTACGGAATTCGTTTAAAGCGCTCAATATGCCGTTGCAGTATAAGGCCAATGGCTGAAAGTTCAACAATGTCTCCGGTGGGGATAAACTTTGTGGATCGGATTTGCCTATTGCACTGAGCACATTTATCGATATTTTATTGATGAATGTATAGTTGTCCATATCCAATTCAAACTGATCCGTTACTTTGGTAATGCGGTTATTGAAGTTTTTCGCAATGATTTTCACGAAAATCGGCACCAAAAGCGTGCGAAAATCAGTTGAAATTCGACTAAACGACAAGCCAAAGTACATACATTGACCCAAAACGGCTTCCAATGATGTGATTTCACCACGGTTCAAATCTGCCTCCAGAGTTGTTAGGAAATTATTGACTTTTGTATTTATCCAAGCATGGAATATATTGCCAGACTCATTCGAATCATTTGAATCAAGCGTGTTTTCGTCGTCAGCAAAGGTGGCTTTGTATTGCGTTATGATATTGAACAGATTGACACGACTCAACTCAATGGTTTTCATCAAATGATGTTGGGCTGGAAAAGGGAATGGAAATTGAATATTAAATTGAAAAATCAACTACGAATTCAATAAAGTAAGACTCACGATCATCTTTCGGAATGCTGTTCAAAATCGAGCAAAACCAGCTGTCACGCGCTTGTAGGAATTTCAACTTGAGCTCGGGCAATGTGAATGCTTGCATGCGTCGCAGGTAGCCGACGATTTGAAGGCACTTTGGCAATGGTAAATCAGTGCGTAATTGAGCTAGCAATTGCTCCAACATTGTATGCCATGATCCTTCGATGGTTGCCACGATGTTCTGTTCACATTTCAAGAAGAAAAATTGAAATAAATATATTTAGATTCTAAAATTCATCAAAAAAATGACAATTTTTACTCAAGCCGATATGACTTACATTAATAACCGGAATGTCACTATGTTTAGCGCCCATACGCTGAACATGGGCCGCTAGCTCCAATGCTTCTTCATATTTCCCTTGATAAATGCACGTATCCATCAATTGAGGTAACTCCAAAATCTCCAGCAATTGTGCATTTCGTCTCAGATTCAATGAATTCAAGCGACGTGATGTGGCTATTTCACTGGATGTTTTAATGAATTTCTCACATTTCTCCGTTAAATTTGGCAATTTGTCTATGAGTTGATTCAGCTGTTGTTCGGTATCTTTGAATTCAGTGTAGATTCGACGCGAGCATTCGGACGTTTGAATAAATGTCTTGTAGTTACTAATCGCCAAATCTTGCGTTTGCTCTACAACTGCCTTATTATCTTCTGCCAATCGCGTCTCTTCCTTTTTTATTTGGTCAACCTTGTACGAACCAAGCTTGTAGATTTGGGGCAACAGCTCAGGGTTTTCACGAAGGTGTTCTGCGATGGATGAAGAAAAGTATGTAGTTATCAAGTATGCAGGGATCAAATGAAGGAAAATATCAAATTTAAATTCATAAGATTAAAACCAAGAAGATGAAAAAGAAAAGATTTGATTGAACTTGCCTGGAACACCGTTGGGAAAAATCAACTTCAATAATTTCTCGTTTTCATAATCCATTGTGCTATATTTTCGACGACAAACTAAATATTCTGTGATTATTCGGTTTTGTTGACGTTTACAAATTGCTTCGTAGTGTCAATTCCACACTGGAAATATGAACTACGCGGTATTCATCGTTCGGTGTACGAAAGCATGAACCAAAGTGAATTGTTTGTTTATAATACCAACAGATGGCGTTGAACACAGTCACAACTTGTAAACAGAAATGTACGAATGTAATTGAAGTCGGAAAATTCTTCTAGTGTACTGAATGGAAAACGATTCGAATTTTTTAAATGAATGAATTTTCAAGTAGGATTTCTAGGATTCGAATTTGGATTTCTGTTTATATTGATTTTTTCCATTTTTTTATTTAATTTTCCAATTTTTTTCATTTAATTTTTTGAAATTGATTTTTGAGAACCTTGAATTTAGGATTAAATGAGATTTGAATGAGAAAAAATTGTAATGAACATAAAATAGAGAAGATATATAGGAAGGTTACACACAAACCATGATCTTCAATTAATTTTTCATTCCAAAAACTCGGTTCGATTCAAATCGAAAGTAGAATTCTACTCCAATATTCAAATCTTTGATCTGATGAAAAAAACATCAGATCAATGAACATATTTTGTGAAAGCATCGACAGTTCCTTGAGTAAAAAGTGACGCTCATGAAAAAGTATGTCCAAAATGAGTGTAGCAATAATCGAAAATGTAATTACATGACACCAATTTACCGAAAGGTGAATAAGAAAATGAAAATTCGAGATGTTAGGTAAATAATTGAGTTTGCTTCAGTTGTGACGTACATGACACTCTGGCATGGCAATATCGTTATTCATTACACTGCTCTGAGCACACGTGATTCGGCTGTATGGTGAGAGTCAATGAGTATTCCATTTGAATTCGAAGTGTTCTTTTAATGATGTCAATGTCCATTCGGAGCATTCTTTATTCTGCTCTTTCTCTCCCGTCGCAATTTTTTCTGCACTCATCGAATGTTCTCTCTCTCCATCTCCCTACTGTGCGAGAGTGGCGTTTTTCTGGATTACTTTGCATTTTTTTGTCGGTTCATATTTTTGCCATGGACACATTTATAACGAGAAAAGAGAGAATGGCAAAAAAAAAAATAGTCGCCCATACTCTCTTCACAAATTCAATATTCGTTTCGTGCATTTAAGTCATTTCTCGAGTCCATTTGTAATGGTGCGAGATGGTCCATTTGGTTGATATGGCACAATACAACTCTCATCCACACGGGCTGTTGTAAATTGTGTCTGTCCATTTGGTCGTTTTTCGAACCATCGAAAATACATTAATGTATTTTTCAATAGTTTTTTCTCGTCTCTTCCGTTGTTTCCTCAGTAGTTGGTCACTTGTGTATATTTTATATCCCATACCATTAGTTTATTTGGTCGCTGACTGCCTTTTGTGTTAAAATCGTATATATTCTTCGCAGGCAACTTTTCATGTGGGTTGTTTCCTTTGCAAAGAGGCGAGCGAGGAAAGAAAGATAGCAGGGAAAAAAATATAGATAAATTTGTTTGTATGACTGGTCAATATAGTGGATGATATTCGCACACATCCGACAGACACAAGTGCCAAATCTGCGCAGCCCAGCGCGTTCGGTCGATGGCCAGCAGCAGCAACAACAAAACCAATTACCAGCGTGTGTATACGGCAAAACGAATATATGCGAGATAGAGTGAGATGCTTTAACGATGTGTCGATAGCAGCCAGCAATGACGATGGCATATTTTTCTCTCCGCTTCTTTTGCGTCCATCTTAACCAAACCGTGTGCATTTTTTCATTTTTCCAACGGTGATTTTTTTTTCTTCGCTCATCTTCTCGTTTTCTCTTCACTTCACTCGCTCTCTATGTCCACTATGTTTATTTATGTGTCCATATAAATATGTATAGAGCTCACGACCGTTGCTGTGGGAGTGCTATGCCATTGTGTTTTGTATGTGCTCTAGTTGATTATGTTGGTTCGAGCAGAGAATACGAATTAGAAAAATCTATATTTTTCTTGTTATTTTTGCACATTTTTCTTTTGACATAGAGTCCGCTCTTGGGCGACGCTTTACGAATCATTTCGGGGATGGAGGTTATATGTGCACGTTCCGATATGTGTGTATGTGTGTGTGTGTGTGAGTATGCGAGTGTGGTTTAACTCGAAACTCTTTTGGGTATGAGATAAAATTGATGTTGCGTTATCACAGCGTTTTTCATTCTTCTACATTTTTTTTCTCATCTCCTTTCACATGCTTGCTTCGCTGGTTTACTCATCAAGTGTATTGTTCGCATTCGTAGTGTGTTCTCTTGGCTTGCCTCGCACCCGAACAGACGACCACCGTCAACCGGAGCGAAAATATTGCGGAGAGATGAGAAATGGATTGAAGATGTGAACAACAACGACAGATTCGATTCAATCGCCGCCGACGAACGAGCGAGATGGCCATTGTAAATGGTAGGTGTATGGTTCATCGGTCAGCCAGATAGCTAGAAAATATAATAAAAGATTCGAATCGAACGCGATAAATCTGCAATACTTATACACACAGCTATACACACATAAAAGTGGGTCTATGAAATTTTTCTGCCATTTTTCACACATGCGAATCGAAGTAAATAACTGTGTATGTAATCGAAACGGCTTATGTACCGCTCCGATACGTGGACCTTGAAGTGTGTATCTGGCCGACAACAAATAACATGGAATCAACAAAATCCACATCCCCAACAACATCGTTCGAGAGCCAACAACAATGACAACACGGGAATATGAAAAACAACAACGTTGAAAATCAGTCGTTTCGACGATATTTCCAAACGAAACGAAAGAAAATTGATGTTATGTTTATTTTCTACTGTTTTGGCTTTTTCTTTTGCTCTTTCTCGTTTCTCTTCATACCTTTGGCTGTGTACATCATTCGTTAAAGCGCTTTACGGTTAGTTTACTTAGCTAAATCCATCGAGTGATGCCAGTGCTTTGCTCGTTCACGGTAAGAAAATCCCTGCAAGAAACGATGACGACAACGCGCGTCCATCTCACGGGACAGGTGCACCAAATTTTCAATGTACCGTCCATATTGTGCACCATTCTATGCATTGAATGCAACATTCGCAACAAATAAAATTGAATGTAACATTGCATAGCTTAGTTTGTGCAATTTTGAAAACGTAACACCTTAAATAATCAATTCATTCTCAGAACACTTCAATTGAAATGACGGAATTCAATTGAATTCATTGCTTGGCTACAAATAATTCAATTTCATTGCTGTGAAATTTCATATAAAAGAGTGCTGTCATGGAAATATTCCCAAACTCCCACCGAATATAAGTCACCATATTTTTTTTTGCATTCACGTCCATGCTAAAAATGGTCATAAATTTCTGTGTAATTTTTAATGGAATGCTCGTTCATAAAATTCTTGATTGCCTCACGCACAACATATATAGACAGGGACGTGGAGCGCAGAGAAAAAAAAAGTGTGTTGCGGTCGAAGGTGAGTGATGACGACACCAAAAGTCAAACCTGCTTCAATATACTTAAGCATGAAATTTACGGCGTTTGTATTATGTACACAATTTCGAAATATTTCAGCCCATAAAAGTTAGATTTATGACACTCGATAGCACCGATACATTGTAGTATCCTTTGCGTCGTAGCTCCACCGACGACGACTCGGTCGAAAGTCGGAAAAAAGGGATGATTGCGCACATCGTACGGCATTTTTTTTGTTGCTCGCCACTGCTGTTGCTGCTGCCTTCAACTTTCATATATTTATGAGAGGGTGTTTTATGGCCAGATATAATATTTTATCTTGCTCTGTATTGCAGGATGACGACGCTACATTGGTAGGCGGTACCTTTATGTATAATTTCGTTACGACACATTGCAGAGTCAATGGCTTCAATGATGATTCGATTCCAAAATGGCCTTTTTGAAACAAGGACGATGCCCGGTTGGAGATGTTTTTTTGCATTTTTTTTCCCTAGATTATTTTAGATAACTCCGTTGAAATGAATTCCACATATCCTGTGTCTAGAAGACAATCTTTACCATTGCATTTTGTCATTCATGGATGTTTCTTGAAGTGGTTCCATGAATTTTTTTCTTTGGATGAAATATTCTAAAGTGCAAAATAAAGTCAATTAGGGAATGTCTCACACATTTTTACTTAATTTCTGAAGTAATTGAATAAAAATAAGTGAAAATCACTTAAACACTTCCAGACAGTTAGAGAAAGTAAGTAAATCTCACACCATTCAACAAACTTTGTGTGTCCATGCATAAAATACTTGCATAAATTTGTTGGAATAATTTCTTTAGTTATAAATTGGCTGGTTTTCGTCAGTCGTATCGGATGGAGCTTATCGTTGTGGATTGGCAACATGCTTGTCGAAGATAGTATTAGCATCCAAATATGCCTGGGCATTTCGTATTTTTGTTTTCGAAGCTACAGATTAATATGCAATTAAATTAAAAGCCTTTTATTGTATTTTTGTCTGGTTTTTTGGGGGTTTCGACGCTTTTCTCTCTCTCTCTCTCGGTCCTTTTCGCTTGTCTTGTTTCTTTTTTCTGTCTGGGAAAAAGTCGATATCCGATTGGAGCGGGTATGAAAAAAAAACCAAAACCAAACTCAGTAAATATTCAAAAATGTATTTAATACATAAATCAAGACAATCGTATTTTAACAATCGGTGTACGTGTACATAATCGGTGGCCGCATAATACATATGAAATGGTAAAAATATTCGAGTGGATATAATCATTTTCATTTCAGGAGAATGCACTTCATTCATTTCATTCAGGCTTATTTGTACAGTTGAACATGAACATAAAAGCGTCTTATTTTAATGAATGGCCACAACGCAGTGTGGCTCTCTCTCTCTCTCTCTCTCTCTCTCTCTCTCTCTCTCTCTCTCTCTCTTTCTCTCTGTGTGTGTGATATGAATCGGAGGATAAATATTAATGACATATATTTTCGAAACATTACCAGGTTCTACTGTTACATGCATTCATACAAGCGCACACAATATTCTTAAATGGTTTCATAGACTTATTATTATTATTATTA